TCTACCTCGCTGCCCACCAATGCACCTGCAAGTCCCTTAAAGAAGCACCATGATGATGAACTCTGAACTTCCTTGAAGCCTTTTGAATTGCTAATTTTGCTAATGTCGAAGCACTTTACAGTTAAATTACTAATCTTGCATCTTTTGACATAATATTGACATCCATTAAGAAATTGTTCTTTTGTGCACCTTAACAGATCTCAATATGTGATCTTTTGTAATTGCAGCCTATCATTGCACTTTATATTAAGTATTCAGCGAGTCATCTCCTTTCTCTGTAAGACTAACTTGCACTTGAAGATATCAAGCTGTTTGTAAAACTACTTGCCAATCTTTTGTCATCTTCTCTTATCTTTTGCAATGCTAATGCTTTTTTGGTTTTGTTTAGTCTTATATTGTTAGCTGCATACTTGATTGGTAATTTATAATTTTAAGAATGCTATTTCACAAACATTACTGTTAATTTTATCTTATACGAAAATATATGATAACAGATTATAGGGAGTCTAGGCTGTGCTTAGCATAGCCGATTACCTCCTAGTATATCTTACTATAAGATAAACAAAAGTCCATAGTTACTGTAGAAGTCCCTTTTGTTGACATGTGGCACTTTGTATGAATTTTGAGCTTTCTCTTTTGCTTTATTTATGGATTTGACACTGCTTTAAATGTGCCCAACAACCTAAATTAGATTGCATTTATCATTTCTTTATAAGGTTGAATTATTTTTAGTAAACTTTTCAATCTCTACATTTTGAACAGATATAATTCAATTAGAATTTATATTCATTTCTATTTACATTAACATTTCAAGTTATATTTGACACACTAACTTAAGATTTAATTATTTCTATTCGAGTTTTCAACCTTATCATTCAAATTTAAGAAAAAATATTTGTCAGAATAAGTTATCATTTAAAGTTAATGTAACATAAAAGATTATTTAAAATTTATTCTATCCTATAATAAAGAACAAGATTTTCTGCTCAATGCAATGTACATTTCTCTATGTCAATTTTGTTTTGATTTGTTCATGTTCAAATATTTAGTAACATTTGACTTTATGTTTATTCATATTTTTATTGTCTGAATTTTGAGTTTTCTCTTTACTTTCTCTATGGACTTGCATTGCTTTAAATGTGGTCAATGACCCAAATTATATTACATTTACCATTTCTTTATAAGGTTGAATTATTTTGAGTAGACGTTTCAATCTCTATATTTTGAACATATATAATTCAATTAGAATTTATATTTATTATTGTTTACATTAACATTTCAACTTATATTTGACAAATTAACTTAAGATTTAATTATTTCTATTCGAGTTTTCAACCTTATCATTTAAAATTATATTTGTCCAAATAAGTTATCATTTAAAATTGATGTAAAGCAAAAGATTATTTAAAATTTATTCTATCCTATTATAAAGAACAAGATTATTATATTTGCTTAATGCAATGTACATTTTTCTGTGTCAATTTTATTTTGATTTGTGCATGTTCAAATATTTAGTGACATTTGACTTTATGTTTATTCATGTTTTTGTTGTCATTTAAAGTTATACATATACTTTTAAAACAAAAAAGTATATAAGTATATTATTAATTTGTACACTGAATTAAATTTGTTAAATGAAAAATGTGGACAATTATAAATCCAGTGACAATGACAAAAAAATGTATATTTGAAAGCTATCATTAAAAGAGGAAAAAAAAATCTTAATGAAATGTAATAAAGACATATATATTTTTCTCATCAAATTTGCATGGTATACTTGGTGGTAATTTCAGTTAGCATTAATGACTCGTATTTTAACTAAATATTAATGTATTAATGACTCAAAAGAAAATTGACAAAAAAAAATGACAAAGTTCATTTGTTCAAATTTAAATACTGATAATCCAATTTCTCCCCATTTCAGTAATATACATACTTTACGTGTACTTCCACACATGACACTCTACTGATAAACATTCCATCAAATTTTGCTAATCTTAAACGCTTTAAGGCCGGCACTGCTCACAACCAACCCTTACTAGTATATATATATTTATATATATATATATATATATATATATATATATATATATATATATATATATATTTTTTAACCATTTTTTCCCTAGGAGGACAAGAATGACATTAAAAAACAGGGAAAAGATATGGGCATCAAAACCCAAGACCTCTTTATGTATATACGATATATCATTTTCTATATATATATATATATGGACATGATAACATATTCATGTTATTGTGACTGATATAAAGTACGCATGTTTTGGATATTTAGATGAGTTTCATTGAGAAAAACAACCATCTTGTTGAAAGAAATAATGGAGATCAAGGCAACAATGTTGCAGATTCAAAAGATTTTTTTTTTTTTTGTTTTAAATACTCCAACTTGATACAAAAATCACATTGCTTTCTTTCGGTGGTAAAAATTTGTTTTTGAAAGTTCATGTCACATAATTGCATTGTTAGACTCTCACACACAGCTCTAGCTGGAAGTGATTATAACTATAAAATCTGTGCAGAAAAAGACTATATTGGTACAATAGTATGGGCACAAAGGTATTAAACAATATAATACAGAACTCGCTAACAAATTTTCATCATTGTATTGCTCTTAACCTTAAGGTTTGTTAATGAGTAATTAGAAGAAACCTAAAAAAGAAATATTTCAAAGTCAAAAACACAAATCAAACAACAAAGCATATACTTATATGCTAATATGATGCTAAAACAAAGTGGAATTGTACTTCCACACATGACACTCTACTGATAAACATTCCATCAAATTTTGCTAACTTTAAACGCTTTAAGGCCGGCACTGCACACAGCCAACCCTTTTTTTTTTTTTGGTTGCCTGCCACGGTATCCAGGGCTTTGCCCTGACTAATCCGTTGGTCGACCCGGGTCGCACACCTGGCTATGGTGGGTGAGTCTCCCAACAAGGGTAGCTGCATACGCCAGGTTTCGAACCCGAGACCTGCTTAAGCGGAACCAAACTGCTTATCACTTGGCCCAACCCCAGTTGGTACAGCCAACCCTTACTAGTATGTATATATATATCATTTTTTAACCATTTTTTCCCTAGGAGGACAAGAATGACATTAAAAAACAGGGAAAAGATATGGGCATCAAAACCCAAGACCTCTTTATGTATATACGATATATCATTTTCTATATATATATATATATGGACATGATAACATATTCATGTTATTGTGACTGATATAAAGTACGCATGTTTTGGATATTTAGATGAGTTTCATTGAGAAAAACAACCATCTTGTTGAAAGAAATAATGGAGATCAAGGCAACAATGTTGCAGATTCAAAAGATTTTTTTTTTTTTTGTTTTAAATACTCCAACTTGATACAAAAATCACATTGCTTTCTTAACCCCTCTTGTACATGAAACAAATTTACCAACTTCTAAAGAATATGACATTTTATGAAACTAATAGGTCTCTTTCGGTGGTAAAAATTTGTTTTTGAAAGTTCATGTCACATAATTGCATTGTTAGACTCTCACACACAGCTCTAGCTGGAAGTGATTATAACTATAAAATCTGTGCAGAAAAAGACTATATTGGTACAATAGTATGGGCACAAAGGTATTAAACAATATAATACAGAACTCGCTAACAAATTTTCATCATTGTATTGCTCTTAACCTTAAGGTTTGTTAATGAGTAATTAGAAGAAACCTAAAAAAGAAATATTTCAAAGTCAAAAACACAAATCAAACAACAAAGCATATACTTATATGCTAATATGATGCTAAAACAAAGTGGAATGGCCATAGAACTCTAAGCCCATGCAAATTGCAATGGCCAAAGATTTTTTTTTTTTTTACCCTTCTACCTTTCTCGACATCGTTTGCATTGGAAGCCATTGTATATTGCAATGGCCAAAGACATTTTTATTTTTTTACCTTCCCATCCCTCCCTACACCCTTTGCACTCTAATTATCAGGCGCAAAAATTGAACCCTAAATTTGACAATAGGGAGGACTTTAAAGCCCTTCACCCAGTCACTGGGTTGACCTTGATAGTTAGTGACCAAAGGACTTATTTGAATAGTTGAGCATCTAATTTATAATTTACATGTGAGAAAGGCTTTAATATAATTTACACTCTTTTATCCAAAAAGGAAAAAAAGTATCTATATCCCTAGTTCAACACTCCTGGGGCTTATCCTAGATAGTGGTTTGCTAATATTATTCATGCTCCTAATGACTTCAAAAGTTATTCTCATTATGTTAAACCACTTTGTCAAAGTCATTATGGTTATTTTAAGCCAATTTGTCAAAGTGTACCACATTCTTCATTATCAAATGATTAAATCACCTTTGGCATATACCCGTTAGAGATTTTTTTTAAACAATTATCTTTATTTGTTTAGAATCTGGTACCTGTTTTTTCGTTAATTTTTTTTTCTTTTTTGTTTCACTTACTGTTTGGTTTATTGATCCTTATAATAAGATCCATCTCTGTAGAACTTTAACTTATTAAATTGTTGAGAGAAAGAACCAAGTAATTTAAAAACGAAACCAAAGATGCTAGACTAACCAATTATCTTGTTTCAATTGTGCTCCTTTTGTGTAAGAAAATCCGATAATATGGATCATTGTAATAGTTTTAACTTATATGTTTTAGGCCTTTTTAGAGATGAGAAAAAAACTTTTGCTACTCCTTACGTATCTAGGTATACATTGTTATACTGGTAGTTATACCCGTAGCTAAAAAGTGACAAATCATGTTTACACCAACCACCCCCCCCCCCCAAACACATCTCCCTTTATATATTATATAGATTTATTCTAATTTAGGTGCTGCCGATTACTTGTATTCCTATGGGTAATTAAATTACCACCACCTTGGACTGATGTAGAAATGCTAGGTTAATTAAAGAAGCACAACAAAGCAAATACTTAATGGCTCAAACAGTACGCAGTTTCAAGCCACCACAACAGAAAGTAACAGTTACTTGCAATAACGGAACTTTGACGAACATCTGAATCAATAACACGTGAAAGGGGTTTAGCCTTCAGTGTTCAACCTATAGGTTTTGATGTGGGCAATGTTCTTTGTGCAGATTATAGGCTTTGGTATGAAGTACGATTCTACTATTGGAGCACTTGATCGATGCCCTATATACAGAAAAATCATATGAGGTTAACAAGAAACTGTTGATCCAGCACACATTTGGCTGGTTCAATTTCCACAAAAATTTGCCTCCAAGATTGGGGGTACAATAAACAAAATCACCTATCCGTATTACGGTGTAGTTCTGGCCTCTAATGTGAAGAATATAGTGTACATTATTAAACACCCAAGTCTCCTCGCATGCAGCCAGGTGCAATAAGGGTGAATGCAGTTGTATGTATCAGCAATTCAATATTTTCACATGGACTCTCCGATGATTCAAAATCACCGCTTGTCATTTTCTCCACCTCGTTTTAGTAACCACATGTTCCCCAAGAAGCTGCAATGTAAGCGTAGATGCTGCATTATCAGGTGGGAATTTTAAATTGCTGCTGAAGGACTCTGATCCTCTTTATCGTGAACAATTTCCACAAGCTGAAATGTAGGTGTAGATAATCCGCAGCTATTATGGACATGTACACTCACTATCTGGAAGCTTGGGAGAATTTTGAAGTCAGCTGAAGTAGATATCTAAAGCCCAAAACAAGGGACAAAGAAAAAATAACGAAATTAATAGCAAGAAGAATAGGTAGTTAATCAGCACCAAGTGAAATGAAACGTTTGCATGATGAATCAAAAGAATGCAATCAGAGAACATAGTAACCTGTAATATGTAATTGAGAGCAACGCACCTTGAACTTCCAACATTCTCCAATCATAGCCTCCGGTCCAAAATTCTGAGACTCTCAACATCGACTATATCAACTGCAGAATATTATGTTTTCAAATTACGAGGAACATTACTTTTTCGAAGTTGAGGATTGTCAATGGAATAGACAAGAAGACTTCCATCTTTTGTCCCAGCTATGAAACATTCTTCCGGGGTTACAGTTAGTGAAGTTATTACTTTTCCAATACCAGTGTATCTTCTCACCACTTCCAGTGTATACATGCACCATACAACAATCTGTCCTTGGTCTCCAGCACAAACTAAAAACTGACCGCAGCTACTCAACCCCATGCAGTTCAGGCGACCACTGGATTCAGAGGAAGAAATGTGTTTCCCATTAATTGAATAGAGATGCAAACTCAGATCATCGTCAGCATAAACAACAATCCGTCCATGGCGAGATACAACGAGCTTCGATATTGCACAGCCAGATGGATGCTGAAGAGATCTTACATATCGACCTTCCCGCAGAGTATGGAAAACACAGGTGCCATCTTTTGATCCACTAATAACTATATCAAGTTCGACACTTGCGAACAAGCATGTGATTATGTCATCATGTCCACACAAAATATGAAATGGAGTTTCAGCAATTACGGAGTCTCTCCGAGGAAGCTCAGCTTGTGCATTTCTAACTCGCTTCTCAGTGGCCCTAAGACGATTAACTTCCCACACCATAACTGTTGTGTCATAACTTCCAGTAACAAGAATACTTCCATCAGATGTGACTGCAACATTTTGAGAAACTTTTATGAGATTGAATAATTCTGAAACTAGAACAGCAAAATAGTCACTACACCACTTGTTTGATAGATAGCAGATAATCTCACTTTACTTGGATAATGCCTTGATAGAACATTTTCTTATTACATTATCAAAAATCATTGTAACAGAATATTTGCTCACTTCAATTCTCCTAACTTCGAAAATGCCAGTTCACTTAAACATCTGGTTTTGAAATATCAAGAATTAGATCAGATGAAATGCTCATATCTAAATATGATATGTGGGAGGAAGACAATTTGTAATAATGGATTCACACATGATATCAATAACTCAAGCATAAACTAGTCCAATTTGGTATCCATAGTTTGTGAGAGATGATGCGTGCAATCTATGTTTCTTGCGTTTGCTTTTTCTGAAACTTGTAAATTGTATAACTGCATGCACAAACTACAAACTTCAGAAGAATGACAGATATCATAAACACATATTCAAGGAAAAACTTAAACTTGGAACTCAGTCTCAGGGAAAAAGAAATAAAGATAGGTCCTACTAAATGAGATAATGAAAGTTCCCAATTTTCACCTACCTGAATCATGCACTTGCCTGGGGCACATAATGTGCCCCCCCCCCCCCAACACCAAAACCAAAAACTCCCCCAACAAAACAAAAAAAAGCACATTTTATCCTTCAAATTGTGTTTATTTTGCAAGTTTAGGAAATAAAGCGCAAACAAAAAATGCTTCAGTTATGAGAGAAATGAAAAAACAAGTTCTCATCTTGTTTGGGAGTTTAGGAAAGAAACAGTATGATTTGGGACATACAAATCAATGCAATCTCCTATTACAATGTTTTGGGCATGGTTGGTACTTTGAAAACTTACACAAGCCTTTCCCCAGTTTTCTCTCCTTTTCTTCCCAATTTGGGGACAAAACCTTTTGAACTGCAGCCCTAAAATTCATTCCCCGTGTCTCTTTTTTCTCCCATCATTTTACTACTAAATCTCCGAAAATCAAGAAAACTTAGGGTTCTCTTCCTTTCTTTTCTTTTTTCCTCATATTGCCAACTACCAAACACAGCGTTAATAATTCGTTTTCCACTTTTGCTGAACTTCGATTATTCGTTCCTCACCCACTCACCTTACCAGGAACAAATTACTGAAACAAATGACTGAAGGTTTTTTCACGTAAAATGAAAAAATTAGCTTTAAATAATGTTAATGCTATACGTCTCCAATTAGCATCTCCAGGGCGACCTCCATTATGCAAATAAGCAAGTCTCATCCAACAAGAGATGATGATGTCTTGCTCAATTGGCATTGTCAACTGAAGGACCTGAATAAATTGCATTTGGATTGAAGCAGTTTCAAAAAAAATCGTGGCAAACAAATATGTTAATAGAATTGTTGAAATCATCTTTTACCTCAGGCGAGGTGGTTCAAATATCAGAATCAAGAATTTCAAAGAACCAAGTATTTCATCAATAATCAAATAACAGATGATTGTTCCATTTTGACTTGAAATAGATACAGGTACACTTTTGATTGTATTCAGATTCCACAATGCTTTTATCAAGGTGACAAAGAAGCAGGTAAACAACTAAACGATAGCTCAAAATACTGAACTGTTACGTATTTAACGTTTACACCATACATCCTCAAGAGACTTTGTTGTATCAAATTTTAAGTCTCAATGAACCCTCAGCCGAAAGCACTAAAAAAACTTCATTTTGTTTTTGTCTTGTAACTAGAAGATTGCACATGCCAGTGTTGTAGTTCAATTTGAATTAGAAAACTGTTCTATAGACAGATATGATCAAATTACCTGCTATACAGCTGACAATGTCTTTATGCTGCCTAATACTTTGCACCATTCTTCCATCAGCCAGGGATATTACCTGAAAACTGTTTTCCCAGGTGCCACATGATATCAAAAAATTTTCAGATGGCATCTGCAAAGTTGAAAAGCACTGTGCGCCAAGTTCAAGAGTTTCAGCCAAAGGACTGCCAATTTTACGTGGAGAAAGCACATCAGAACCAACTCCAAAAAAGGGATCCTGCGTTAAAATGACTAGTCAAACACGTTGTGGATATTTTGCATAATGCTAAATTTCTTTGATTTCATTTAAGCCAGCACATGAACCTGAGAGCCAGAGAAGGTGAAATTCCCACCAGACTGCAACTGGGTTGTCAACCATATCTTGACTGACATGGTTAGTCCCTGATTCACAAGAACAATACTCGAGTCCAAGACTTGAACATATAAAACAGCCGCTGAATTACTTGAACTTGAGGCTATGGAAGTCAAATTGATAGAAGCGGGAGCAAATTTAAGAGGATGAGTAATTGGAATTGGTGGGCCTCTTCTAGGATGTTTCTTACGAAAAATTTGAATTGGTGTCTGACCAAAATTGGCAATCTGATCTTCTATGGCAGACCTTTGCAATTCATCATCCATAGTATCCAGATCAACAGCACCTTCATAAGTTAAATAATAAAAGACATTCGCTGCCTGTAGAAATTATATCTCGAAAACATTAGCAAGTATGAAATAGTATTAAATCTTAACAAAAAAAATTACTTCAAGTTTAGTCAGGTGGATCTTGATCTCCATATACCTCAACTGCTGGTTTACCACGCTGCTTGTATCCAAATACCAAATCAATCCAATGATGAAGGTTTGAGCTAACATATTCACTTTCAAGAGCCTCTCGATTTTTACTTATGAATTCCTCAGCTGAGCCCTGTAAAGCAATTTAAAGGAACACCTAACTATTTCTCTTTTATATGACAACATAAATGAATATGGAAACAGAACCATTGTACTAAAAGAACATTTCTTTTCCCAGATAGAAGCAGAAAAGGGGCAAAGAGACCCTATTCTTCATCAAAATCATCTCTATTGCACAATATCGGGTAATAGCCTTGTTCAGGTCATTGTACTTCTCACCTCATAGTCCAACAAAATTTGATGCAAATAAAAGACTCCCTGGAGTAGTTATTAGCTCACATTCTCCTTTTATATTGGAATTTCGAATGGAATCATATACTTGCAACAACTTCAAACAAAAAGAAGATCAAATGACATCTAGACCTGCAATTGCAAATTGAAGCTGCTCTTCCTGTCTTCCAACCCCTATCTATTCCCAACTAAAAGGATGATTTACCCAAACAAGACCTCTACCAAACAAGGCTCCATCCTCTACATTTGCCTTTAGCTCAATGCTAGTACCCTCATTGACTTCAGCTTTACTAATGAGTAAATTGGTGTCGTTGGAATCACCAATTGAAAGTAACATCTGAATTGTGCAACTATGTACAGTTGCTTTCAGTGATTTAGTGCAATTCTAGTGTTCAAGGTGCTGACATAATTGGGAATTGAGAGCTACTGGAGGCTTTGTGATGGTGTTGCAGTTGTGGAAGATACCCTTACAAATTTTATCTCCTAGTACAAATAAGTGGGAAATGTGTGTCAAATATCGTGAAATGGTGGTCCCGAATATTAGGATATAAGCTAACCATTTTAATTCCAATTTCTTCAAAATGGAATTATTACTGAGTTTCGTTTCAATTTGCCAACAACCTTCCAAGCAAATGAATCTTAAAAAACTAGTATCATTCAATTTTAGTTTGGTTAAGAGTACACTAATGCATATCTTGATGCCTGACAAGCCTGAGGCGTCAAATAGGCCTTTGGGGTGCAGAGCAACTTCAATCCTCATAACAGTGCAAGTCATGGACTTTTTATTATTACTGCAAATTTTATGTTCCAGTGTTGACACTTACAAAGCTACAGTATCTTCACTCAGAAGTCCAATTGTTAATTCTTGAAAAGCTCTAGTAGGCTACTGAGTAAATCACTTAATCAATGAGATCCTGGTTCTTTCATACTGAGATACAAAAATCTATGTAAATATGCACATCTTACTTACATACCTTGGCCCAAGTGGGGAGCAAAACATCACCTAGGGGTTCTCCATCTTGGCGCACACCGAAATGATAAGAATTTGTATTGCCAAGAAATTCAGGCATGTAAAAAAATTCAGGAATCAACTCCTTCACATCACTAGTATTTGAAAGACAGTTCTTGTACGTGCCCTCGATGCTTTGAAAAAGTCGGTCTGCATGGTCGAATTTACCACCCTAACAAAGGATAGTGAAATTTATACTTAAAATGCAATAGCTTAAAACAAAATGATGCAGTTGTAACAGAAGTATTAAGTAGGTATTCATATAGTACCTGCAGATTACGGTGAAGAGCAGTGAATGGCTCCAATCTAAGAAGGTAAAAGAGTACAATTCCCATACTTGAGTAATGAGAACCATAGTAGAAACTGTAAGAAAAAACAGAATTATCCAACAAAATTATTAAACCCAGGTCTGAAGTTATTATTTACAAGCAATGAAATGTTCCATTTTGTTGGAAAGTACCTTGGAATATCAGGATCACAGAAGTTTCGGTATCTATCCTCAAAAACCTACGGAGATGAGAGTAAAAAATTGGTGTGGGAGGCTAAAAGTCACTGATTGTTGCAAAGTATAATTAAATAAGTATCATCCCACAGTATATTGCCAATAAGGTTGGTTAGATTTTCAAAAGGTCCTAAATAATGAATTAGAGCATGCTAAACAGCAAAAAGATCCAGATTAAGTTCACACTTTGTGACAAATGCACAAGCCGAAAAATGTGAGCGTGTGTGTGTGTGTGAAAGAAAGAGAGAGAGAGAGAGAGTATATCTAGCCTAAATATGACCATGATAAGGTAGTCTTAAGCATAAGGTAACAACTCTGTCATACCCTAATCTTCTAGGCCACATTTGGAACATTGAACTTTGCTTCAAGAAAGATCACGAAAAGTCTTTTCTGGCATTAGGTTTATTAGGACAACAAATAGAAGATAAGTATTACACAAAAGTAAAGAATCAAACTTGCATTTTGACAACAATGACTATTCAATTGTGTTATAATTGAACTATGGATAGAAGTTTAAACCTTTAAACAATATGCTGATATAAGTGAACGCCTGAAAAAATCTTCATTTTTGGTAGCTTTCTTTTGTTTTTCTTTTCCTTCTTAAATTCCATAACTGATGAGGAAGTTACAGTGGTGATCATTGATTGAACAGAAGAGAGTTTAACTAACCTCAAAGCGTTTCAAATCTAATGCTCCAACAGGTTTTGAAAGGTCTCTGAAAGTTGACGACTTATTGAAATCAAGACTCTCAGATGAATAATCAGCTAATACCCAAGGAAATACAGGATACTGAGTCAAATCATTATAAGATCTCCCAGAAAGTGTGTTGAGAATCATCAAATACTCAAAATTTGTAATATCTCTTCTCCTCCAGCTCTCTCTGGCTGTTTCAGCCATCTCCAGTGCTACACGTCTATCAACAAAGGAAATAGCTCCACTCTTGTCCTTGTATCCCTTTGGAGTTATGGATTCATTTCTGGTTGCTACAATTAGGTTCCCGACATCTTTTGCATCCTTTTGTGAGGAGAAGTTGAAGAACACTGGAGCAACAGAGTTGTTGAAGAAAACCTCAATCGCAGTGTATCGGAGCAGATATCGAGTCCAATGAACAGCCTTAATCTATAATCAGCAGCACAAATTAGAAAAGCAAAGTTCGTATTATAGGCATGCAATTATCTTAAAATCTAACAGTTGAACATTTACAGTGTCAACACCTTTGAAATGTTCCATCTTCTGTGGCGCTTAATGTCTTTGTATTGCTTTTGAAGAATGTCATCTTGAACAGCATTAATGCGATCCAAGACACTTCCTCTTTCAGAACTCAAATCTGAACCGATAGGAAACTTATAGAACTTCTGCTTGTCAACTACCCCCAACTGATCATGACTTTTATGATCTAGGTTACCTGAGGAGTCAAAATTCTTAAAAACAGATGAACCTCCAGTACCTTCAACTAAAAACTCTCCAAAGAAGTGAAGGTAGTTCTTCATCACAGCCAAACGTCCAGCAAATTTTCTCTTCAGTGTTACAAGAACACAGGGAACAGATTTAAGGACCTGAATATTACTCCAAGGTTAGAAATGCAGATGCATATTTGCTATTCCACATAACTTCATATGTCATACCTCATTATTTTCTGATTCTGATGTTAAGTTGGAAGAATCTTTTCTGTCCTGTACAATGTCCTTCAGATTGCTACTGTCTTTCACTGTCTCAGGATACTGTCTGTCTGTCAAATCTTCTGGGGTTGAGGCCTTTGGATTGCTAGATTCAGCATCATTATCACTCATTTCTGAGGTCCCTTCATCTGTAATTTTGCGAATTCCTTTGAGTAAGAAACGCTTCATCTGCTCAGGAATATGTGCACCAAAACCAGTTTTGGCATCACTAACAGTAGAAAGGGCATCAGAGTTTGGGAAGTTGCTTGAGGGATAACAAAGCTTTTCATTAAACCGATAGTTACGTCTCAACTTCTGCCTTCGACGCCATCCATCTTCTGTCTTGTCGAGTTTCCAATGTGTTATAGAATTGTTTGGAAACGTTTTAGCAGACCATGGACCTCTCTCGTCAATTAGAGACCGAAACATATGTATCCACTTTTCCTAATAAAGCAAAATTTTGAACATCTAAGCAATCCTCAAATGTATAACCATTTAGAAAAGCAATTACAAAGGCAACAACTTGACACAGATTCTGTTGGCTTACAGCGATACTCTGCTGCTCCTCGTCACAGGCAAGCTGGAAAGAAGCTCTTCTACCATCATCGGAAGCAAGAATGGAACTTAAATTACTCTGTGTCTCATCTTCAAAAACTCTCTGTTGATTAGACTCTGAATTTAACACTTCATCCATTCTAAAGCGGAGATCATCTAATTGCCTAGTCCGATCTGCTGTTGAACCTTTTATGTACTTCATTTCATCAGCAACCTAAAAAGTGCAACGCTCAAATTTGAAGATAAGATTCAGAGCAATTGCAACAATAACACAATTAGCTTGCTATCATCTGCAGTTCCTGAATCGAGACATACTTTCTTTTATCATACAATATTCTCTCATATGATCCTTTTGCCAAACTTCGATGCCAAATTTAAATTAGATTTTCAAGAGTTGAATACAGAATTCTTCTTAATATACAAGTGTGAAATTCTTTTTGGGGATCAGGAATCAGGACATTATTGTTAAATGTGGAAATAAAGTAAACTCTATATACAAGCAACAAGCATTGGGCTGATGGAGAGGCTTGGCTAATTAAGGATGATTAGTTGTGGAAGGCATGTAGTCAGTCCTCTGGATTGTCGTTTGACATCACTCCTATGTTCCTATTTCACCATACAACTTAATCTTGGGCATAAATGAAAAGTCACTAAACTTCTCAGCCATTACATTTACCACAAAACAATGTTGAAACATTAATTATAAGTGTCAGAATGGAAACAGTAATAATATACAATACATTCTCTTTTATCCATAACAGTCATGTTTTATCTGAATACCCTCCAATGGTTCTTTGTTGATAGCTTAAAATTTTTTTCCAACCTTTGTATCAGAATTTGAGTGCACAAATGTCAGAAAGCTGTTATTTATGACCATATAAAACTCACAGAGCAAATTTCAATTAACTTATGATATATTCAAGACACTTCACAACCTAATATTACTAGTTGCTTACCTTCTGAATAAAGCATTCCATTCCATAAATATTGTCAGCACCTGTGGTGTTATATTGCATCCTTTGGTGCCTCATTTATACAACTAATTTACCTTCTCCAAACAACAAAATCAAGCCCATACTATTAGTACAATCTATAGCTATACTGTTTGTATTTCTGAACAAACTACAAAATTCCTGGCTTAATTCCTTAAACCTGCTTATGTTTTTGTAAACGATCAAAAAGTGTTATACTTCATTAATTTTTTTTAGAAGAGCGAGTATAATTTATGCAAACGAAAACCAGTTCAGAATGTCAAAAAAATTGTCAAAGAAGCTTGGGGACTTTGCAAGAATGAAATTCTTTTTCTATCAAGCAACACCAGCATGGAACCTACAGGCAAAATGAATATAGAACAGATCACATAACTTATTTAAATAAGGCTAGGAAAAAGTGAGGCAAGTACCGCAGCAATAACTCGATCCTTTTGAATTAAATTGTGAAAGGCACTTGGTTCTTTTGGATTGCCACCCAAGTCTGACGAGTCATCTCTGCTCATACTGGAAGCAAGTACCAACTTACTGCAATTGACCGTTTCTCGAATCAAGTGAGAGAGAACATGGATTCGAGCGCCATCATCGGATATCCCATAGTGAGACCTAACAGCAAGCAACGCCCTGCACAGAAGCCAACCAATTGTCACAAGTTCTCCAAGAGCAAAAGAAGTCAGGAAAGTACAGCATACTAACTCAAGCAAGCCAATGCACCACAAAACTTTTGATTATTTGTTGACCAATCTAAATCTATGAGGCATCAAACTGTACCATATGAAAAGTTGCACTCTGTTCTTGCTTTGCTCATCATCAGCTGTCAGAAGACTAGGAAGAAGAGGAATAAACTGCTGGACACATCGAGATGCCCTTTCAAGTGAGGATTTACAAAGATAGAGAATCATAAGCCGGAAAACAATCCTTGGACACTTCTCCCCTCTTAACAGCATCGCCTTATCAACAGTTTTATTTGGCTTCCCACCTAATGCATTACTAATTCCCCCAGATACAACTACTGCAGCCATTTCTGCAGCAGGGATATTGAGTGACTCCACCAAGCCACGGGCGCGTTGGCTGAAAGATGGAATTGATGTTGATGAAGATCTGGGCAATGCTTTGCTTGGGCCTTTGCCATTCATCATACTGATAATAATCCAAATATTGTCATACATAATCCACCATTCATCATCAGTTTTCTCATCTTGTATGGAATCATCTTGCTGTTGCATCCATGGGTTTCTGAAGAAACATATGCACAAAAATTAACAAGTTAACCACAGGAAGTTTGATTAGAAGGGATGTTGGCACATCATGGATAGTTACCAAACAGAAGCTCCAGCATCTGTTTTTTTTTTTTTTTGTGGTTTTGGGTGGGAGTGGGCGGGGGGGTGGAAACAGAAGAATTCGAGGGTACCTGGATAAGTCATCACGGGGTTCTCCTTGAAGGGCTTCAGATAAAACAGAGCCAACATCTTTGCGATTTTCTATTTCAAGAAAGTCAGGAGGATATCCAGAGCCATTTGTTGGAAACTGAGAGTAAGCAGAGAGCAAAGAGAAAGGTTTTACTTTTCTTTCTTCTGTTTCTTCCTTTCTTTTGCATTTGGATACAAAAGATAGATATGCAGGTCTAATGAAAAAGCTTTGAGGAAATAATCAGAAGATTCACTCGTCATGCCAGCGACAAAGATACAGAGAATTACGGCTAAACAAAGTTGTTTATTCACCATTTTAAATTGGAATTCAGGTTTGTGTGGGAAAAATGATAATTAATTAACTGAAAGGAAATCCAAGCAAAAAATCAAGCGAAGCAATTAGTACGAAGTCTCATAGACATCTAACTTCTACAGGAACTAATGACAAACAAAGCAATCTTCATGTGTACTCATGCTTATAGTCGACTCCAATAGTGAATAATAGTATTAATAGTCATATTAGATGCTTAACTAATCAAGGAAAATAAAGTAATGTTCAATGTGATAACGATACCAATTAAGGAGTACGCTCACAATCACCACTTGCTCTATCTGATGATCCTATGGCTACTTCTAAATTTTGCAACGACAATAATAACTTCAAAAATGCCTGAAATTCCTCCTAGTACACTATGAAAAAGAATAACAGGGTTACATCTTTAGCAGCAGAAATCCAGCAATGCTTTATGATGTGGAACACAAAGTAGAATTAAAAAGAATGAACAAAGGATGATTCAGTAACAGCACAAAAGATGAAATCTAAAACCCCACATACCGGAATCTTATGATCAACTTCAAAGATCAGTATGTCATCAACTAGTTTTAGAAGATACAAAACATTGTCTCGACATGGTTGAGAGACAAAAATGTTTTCTTCAATAGATACTAGCCTCTGAGTTATGTCAGCATAGACATCATGAAGGAAATAATGATATGAGATGCCGCCCTGCAGAAAAAGGAATATACTTATTCACATTTATTTGACAATGCATATATTCTACTTGATCAGGCATTACGAGAGACATACTTGGTCACATTCCATATGCAGAAAATTCATCGTCTCCTCCAGCTGTTGCCAACCACCTTTTACAGAAACAATGTAGTGACAAAGAACACAGCAGTATAAGCTCCTAACAAACATTCGCTCATTCATCTCAATGTCATTGAGACTTTGTGACTCCATTTGGTAATTTTTAACCACATCAAGTTTAACAGATGCGAGCAACCATGCATTCCATCCATTTTCCTATGTGAATATAGAAAGTTATAAGAGGATGGTACATCCAAGGCAAAAAGTAAATGTAACCAATGATATCTGTACCATTAGAGCTTCAATATTGGAAGGATTTGAATCAAGAAGATCGAGTAGATCGCCAACTATTTTGATTCTTGCTACTGCATCCTCGCAACCTGACAAAAATCTGAAAATGAGACCCAGAATTTGAGGAAGGAAGAACTGAGAATTACTTCTGCTACTTCTTTGCTGCTCAGTCTGGTTATGTTTCTGCAAAACCTGAAAACAAAAGTTTGAAAAAGAGTCGTTCAGCTATTCATTCCAGAGTGTCACAAGTTCACTATACAGTCACAGAAAAAAATGATTGCAATAACATAGCTCAACAACAACCAAAAATGAGGAGTGGAGTTCATATGACAGCTATACCTGTTTAGGACTAGCACCTCCAAGAAGAACATCAAACAGTGTTGCACACAGAACATCTGTCTGTGGAAATTTAAAGAGCCTGTCCGATATCATGGAAAAGATTGGCTGCATCCTTAAACTGACTTTCTTATAGCCCTCTTGAAGCGATTTGGACCTTCCGACAGCAATATTAAAAAACTTTGAACCTTTTTTCTCAGGTGGAAGACCAACTAAAAGCCTTCCAATAAACTGCAAGCTTAGCAACCTAATGGGCTCAAATTCCCTGTCACAAACAAGTAGGAATTAAGAAAGTTAGATTGGAGTATATCTGCATGCTGATCCAAAAAAAAAAAAAAAAGGCTGCTTGTTCCAAGAATTAAACTATGCATCAGCAGCCCCTCAGAGTCGAGCTAATCTAAAGCAAACTAAAGCAAACCACTACCAAAGTACCTAAATCCAGTATATCTCTCCCATCATTCTACTCTTGATTTGTTCAAATAATATATAATATTATTTTAAAAGTGCATGCAGCATTCTAAAATCCAGAAGCAAGAAAGTATAACGAGGGGTAACAACCTTCAAATAGAGAACATTGGCAATTTTCATTCAGACACACCACTAAAGCATCAAAATCGGAGAGAGAAGGAGGTTGCAAGGACAGGTGACAAAGCTATGCAAAGGAATGCCCTAAATTTGGATAGCAAATAATGCTCAGCACCTCGTGTAAGCAAAATATTTGGGTCTTTATAGATTTAAGTGTAAAAAAATCTATGGTAGTGTACTCAGTTTGCAGCATTTGCAGTAATTTGGGACAGAGAGGTACTTAAGGCATTATCAATGTCACTTAATGTATACAAAACTGCTGCACAAAAAAGTCATCCACACCTCCTGTCATTGGGTTTTTGCATTTGTGCATTTTATGGTTCTTCTGTTAAAAAGTATTTACTTTTCTTCAAGGGGTATCATTCTTGTCTTCTATCCCCAATGAATATTCCTTTTATATGGGAAAGAATTAAAAACCAAAGTCACTGAAAACCGGTAGACTTACTCTTTCTTAAATGAAACACTTGTAGATCTCTCAATTCTTTGAAATGTTTGTTCAGCTTAAATATTGGTAGAATACATTGCTCAAGTACAAACTGTTGTAGTAGAGATTACACACAAGTGTGGAATTTTCAAAGAAGTTAGCGGAATATGAAAAGCCAACAATGCAATCACAATGACAAGATTGCTAAATAAACCGATGATGAGGTGAAAAAATGAAAAAGAACTCCAACCGAATACAGTGAAATGACACAAAGAATTAGAAAAGGACCATTAATGTAAAAAAGTGTTGAGGCGCAGCAGTTCACTGGAGGTCTAAAAATCCAACTGCATAACCACATACACCATACCTTTCAAGAAGATTGACAAAAATGTGACAGCCACCAAGCAAATTGAGCTGCTCCAGGAAGGAAGCAAGCAATGGTTTCTGGGAAACAGCACGAATGACCATGTGTAAAACATCTTCAATGCATGACATATCCTGACTGGTCTCAAAAAAAGCCACCAATGCTTTTATGTCTGTCACTGAAATATGCTGCCTGCATATCATACATAATGTCAAAGGCGATCATTTTTCATAAAACTAAAATGAAAATACTAAAAGAGAAACAAATTGAACAGTATAACTACAAGAAGCAAGCAGGTGAAAGAGAATACTCTACCTGAGACTCATCTCACCGAGACTCAGTAACAGTAAACGGATCTTATGAACTTCTTCTCTGTCAGGTCTCTCTCCAATAACTTGGTTTGTAAAAAGTATTTACTTTTCTTCAAGGGGTATCATTCTTGTCTTCTATCCCCAATGAATATTCCTTTTATATGGGAAAGAATTAAAAACCAAAGTCACTGAAAACCGGTAGACTTACTCTTTCTTAAATGAAACACTTGTAGATCTCTCAATTCTTTGAAATGTTTGTTCAGCTTAAATATTGGTAGAATACATTGCTCAAGTACAAACTGTTGTAGTAGAGATTACACACAAGTGTGGAATTTTCAAAGAAGTTAGCGGAATATGAAAAGCCAACAATGCAATCACAATGACAAGATTGCTAAATAAACCGATGATGAGGTGAAAAAAATGAAAAAGAACTCCAACCGAATACAGTGAAATGACACAAAGAATTAGAAAAGGACCGTTAATGTAAAAAGGTGTTGAGGCACAGCAGTTCACTGGAGGTCTAAAAATCCAACTGCATAACCACATACACCATACCTTTCAAGAAGATTGACAAAAATGTGACAGCCACCAAGCAAATTGAGCTGCTCCAGGAAGGAAGCAAGCAATGGTTTCTGGGAAACAGCACGAATGACCATGTGTAAAACATCTTCAGTGCATGCCATATCCTGACTGGTCTCAAAAAAAGCCACCAATGCTTTTATGTCTGTCACTGAAATATGCTGCCTGCATATCATAAATAATGTCAAAGGCGATCATTTTTCATAAAACTAAAATGAAAATACTAAAGAGAAACAAATTGAACAGTATAACTACAAGAAGCAAGCAGGTGAAAGAGAATACTCTACCTGAGACTCATCTCACCGAGACTCAGTAACAGTAAACGGATCTTATGAACTTCTTCTCTGTCAGGTCTCTCTCCAATAACTTGGTTTGTTCCAGGAAGCAAAAGTTGCTTGCTTCCAATAACAGAATTGGATTTTGCATTGGTCCAGTAAAATTTCCGTATTATATCAAGAACACAAGGGAGCTTACACAGACTCTTTAGTAACCTTGGATCATTATCCAATTGTTGAATAAGAAACATATACAGTTCTCTTTGCACCTTGTACACCGTGTAGACCCAGATAAAGGGGTTGAGAAAGACATGGAATATAGCGTCTTCAACAAGTGCATCAGACAAGCCTATAAAAGATTTAAAATTACAAAACTCTAAGGGCAAATATTATAACTAGCTTCAGAATAAGTAAAAGAATGAAGAATGAAGCCCATGAATCCGTGTGATATTCAGATCTATGGTAATAAACATACAGTCGGCACAATAACAATGCAAATTGACGCTGAGAAATCTGTACAAGCATTTCTAGACAGGTACAAAAAGAAGTAAAGATTTCATGAGATGTACCAGAATTCGCAACGACATTGAATAAATGCTTCAAAGCTGACAAAGTTTCCAAATTAAGCTGCTGGGGAGGAACAGATTGAAGCAAAAACCCCAATATAGAAAATCCAGAAAGTAGAAGCATCTGTTGCTGATTGGCCAAATTCTCATCCAGAACAGAAGCTATAAGCTCAATGATTTCAGCAGTTAAACGTTCCTTTGTAATAGTTGTAAGTAAAGTTTCTCCAAATTTCTCACTCTGTGTGTGTTCATATAAATCAGACTGAGTGAAAAGTGGAAAAAAAACAGATACGCCACCAACACAGTAAATGATTTGTTGTAGCAACCGTCTGGAACAGAGCTGTGTCCCCATCAACACATTAGCTTCAAATGGGTCATCTGGCAAATGCTCCAGTGAAGGAGAGACATTGTATAGTGTCCTTCCGTTGCTCGCCTAAAAAACATATAATTTTTAGAATTCTGTAGGACCAAAGACAAATAAAAAACTTCCAGTAAACATGAAGCAACAGAAAAATAACCTGTGCATTAAGCCCAAATATTATTCTGGATGAGAGGCCATCTTTGGCATCAAGAATGCTACCAGGCAAGGGATTATCCACAGAAACTGAAACTTCATTATCAAGAAAGGAATACATATAGCTTGGTCCCAAGGAATAAACACCCTGTACTTGTTCAGGAGTAATGGCATCATTGAACAGGTAAACTGGACCTATCTGACCAAAAAAAGGGGATGAATCCTTGATGGAGAAAATTGCATCATCTTCCTCGTACAATTTTAGGTTGAGTTTTGCACCAATTGAGCAACTAGTCAAAACTTCATTAACTTTTGCATATCTGACCAAAAAAAGATGAAAGAAAGGTTAATATCTATCAAGGTTTTAATCCTTCTAATGCCCGTGTCTTTGGAGGGCTGGGGGAACTTGAATGATCTGTTTAATTAAATCTGCAATTTCTTCCTCCTAATACATAAAATTGAATTTCATATACAATTGCACAGCACCTGCACTTTTCTGAGGAGACGAGAACTCCATCAACAAAACATCTCAGTTGGCTTCCCCCTGAAAATGCTCTGCCTATGGTATGTGTCAAACACAGAAAATGCCATTTCTTTCTGACAAGGTTGACTTGCAGTGACACAGCCTGGTGCTTTTGATTATTTGACTGCAAAGACGTGAAACACATAATCATAATTCCACAAGCTAAGGAATAGACATGCCACAGAGATTTATGGAGTTCACAAACCAAAAATAATCTGAAACAAGAAACCAGATCCAAGCTGTAAACTTACATTGACAGAAATGCAAACTAAGTAACAACAGGGAAAACCTGAGTCTTACCTCATAAATCAACCAGTCTTTTGCAAGAACAGCAAAGCACCCTCTTCCACTTTCTGTTAGAAAACTAAAAAGACTCATTGTCCCACTTCTAGGAAAGCTTTCTACTCTGAGCCAACAAGAAAAAGAAAATCCTTTATTCAAAGGCCAGTGTACTGGTGTTTTGATCATGACCCCCTGCAAGTGAAAGAGAAAGCATTACAGAGTAACAAGGTCAATTTTCTAAATTAGGATATCTAACAACAAAACTTAGATCCATAGCAGCCAAGAGAGAGTGGCAGGGACACACAGATAAAAACAAAGACAGAGATATGCTGCTAACAGATCCTTCTTGTGCACAAAACTTTTGTCGCTTTAATTAGTGCAATCACAAGGAAAAAAATCCAGCCAAAAGAAATTATTAACAAAGAGGACATGGAGAATGTAAATATATACACGGAGTGCTGCCTAAAATAAAATTAAAATTGGATATGGACATGAAAAAAAAAGAGCATTGATATGCAGAGAGCTATAGTAGGTAGAAAACATAGGCTATATATGTAAGACAAATGTGATAAGCATGGAGATGCAGTCTAAGTGGCTTTCATCACAGGTCTGAATGGCAACATTAACTAGAATCCTAGTCAATATACTCTCTGTTGAGTTGAGAATTTATATTATATTTTTGAAGGCTCCTACTGGAATTAATAGGTATATAATGAAGAACATAGCAAAGAAAAATCTCCATAGAGCCTTACTTATAGCCATTACAAGATCATAACCCTTTCAAAACTAATTAGGGGGAGAAAGATAGATATAACACCAGAAATTATTAGGCATTCTCACTTTACACTTTCTTCACTGAGTTGCCATAGTCTGTCTCTTTCTCAAACTTTTGTGATATAAACATTTAAGTTTCCAAACCCATGCTGGACCAGTTTTCTAGTTCATCTTACATTTCCGACTTGCATCCAGTCATTACTTGATGAATACCACCAGTGAACACAGATATGGAGTTTCTCCAACTAGCATTCTAAAAGACCAATCCAGCAAAACCACAACTCTTACATTAACTTATTCATCATTATTCATGCCATGCTGGATTTGGGCGATAATGTTTTCTTTACCTAGTTGTCAAAGTTGTCTTCTAGTCTATATTCTCCTTTCTAGGTTTTGATAGAGATCAATTCTAACAAGAAGAGTGGAGTATGTTTGGAAAAATCAGTTTTAGTTTTTTCCATGCAGTCCAAAAGCAGTAGGCATTAAATATACAAGAGGCAATCTTGGAAACTTAATCTCTCTTACTACCATGTGAACACATAATGAACCTCTAATAGGCTCAAAATTTTCATGAATGGATGGAAAGCTATTATGAATAATGGTGCTGGCAAGGTCAACCCATATGCATCAGCTGAAGAATGCATCAGACCAAATGGCAAATGATAGTTGACAAGAGAAATGTATAACCACCTGTTACCACTATATGCGCAAATACACAAATAAACATTCCACGTATTACATTGAGACATGTATCACCCTAATGCAACATGAACATACCGAAATTCATATGCAAACTGATAAACAGCCACCCATCAAATATTTCCAGGCATATATGTTGTTACTCATTGGCAGTCAATGTTTAGTAAAAAAAAAAAAAAGGATTGCAGCTGTTGGTAGTGGTGAAGAGGAGTGTGAACCATGTCCTGGTAGTTGAGGAGCCTTATTCACCACTATAGCCATAAGTATCAAAAAATTGGAGCGGAAGTGATACCCCCCAACTTTTTCAGAAAAGAATTCCACCAGCCAAGGAAGAGGACAGTTTGAGTTGCTTATTCTTTCCTATGCACACCCAAAGTTCTCAAAAATGATAATTAAAGATGGAATGTAAACCTGTGTTGGGGGATTTAGTGGCAACCACGTTTGCCCCCACTTATAGCATGTCCAACCATCTGCAGGAAGGTTCCTCTAGCCTTATTTTGATTTCATTTGTCAAACAAATTAAATTAAATGACTTCTCCTCAGAAGCAGGCAGCCATGCCAGCTCACCTCAAGCTCTAGAATGCACATGTATCTATAACTTCAGCCAGATTTGCTCTAGAAATCAATGAATAGACTAGAGTAGAATCCTTCATTGCTATAAAGTGTACGACTATGAAATGTATATAATAAACAAAGTACATAACAGTCGTAGAGAACATCAGAAACTATTTACAGTAGGAACAAGGCTTCAACTATGAGATGATGAATTTCAGAGGATAGCAAAAACTCTATGGAAAGCCTATTAATTGGATGCTTATGTCTTCTCTTCTAGAAAAAAAGGTTCCAGCAAATATGTTCACCCTATCTCAGAGATCACTACTATAATTACTAAATTCCACCTATATGATTCACATGAAAAAGGTATTCTTGGGCTCATAAAACGTGCAATCTCAACATTTAAATCCATTAATATTCATCTTATAAATGAGTAAAAACATTTATCACCATGTAACTTCTAAAGTAGCATTCAAGGACACCACTAGACTTACCGAATCAATCCCATTAAAATCAAAGAATGCTGTAGGTCCTTTCTCATTTAGCATTGATAACATGCTGGTTAACAATAATGAGCTGTACTGCTGCCTAGTTCCAACTTTCTCACTTCGGAGAAGAGCAAAAATTTTTCGAATATCCTTTCCTGAAATGCTATATCCACCTGTGACCTGGATTAGGTGCGCTATTTTCAAGACCACCTTAACATTATCCTCTTGTGAAAACCAATCCAGAAGAAAGTTTAGGATTCCTGCTCTGACACATGAATCTCGATTGGATATGGAATCTCGTAGCAGTTGAAGAAGAACATTAAGCCCATTATACCGCTCTGAGTCACTGCTCTGCCCAGTCATGAAAATCACTAGGTATTGGCTCAAATGAACTTTAAAACAAAGGCAATCAGACATTCAAAAAGAAAATGACAGAAAGTCCATTACTCAGGAACACGATGAGGGATATGAAATACCAACCTTCTGAAGAACATTAAGATAAAGCAAGATCACATCCTCATTCTGTAAATAGAAAAGTAATAACTATCATCAGTACTTTACACACAACTAGTACAAGGAAACCAGAAAACATGCCTTACAGCTAAATGGTCAGTGAAATTCCCATACACGGCCAAGTTCATTTTCCAAAAGGAGCCTAAGGTCCACCTGGCAAAAGAATGGCGATATTCTGAATAAAACTTTGAAAACTCACCTTTATCAGTGGACTTGCTTTAAGATCAAACTTTCCATCGACCAGCATATCAAGCAGAGCACTTAAAAGTGATTCACTTGGCTGCCATTGGCAGAAGTCCAACAATAAGCTCTGCAGAGTCTGGTAACCCTTGCCCACAAGAGCCCTAAAAGCAGCCTAGACAAATTTAAAATTTAAAATCAGCAAAGGAAAAGAACAAATATATGGAGGTAAGGTACAGCCAGTCATTTATCCAGAGAGCCCATGAATATGTGTACACGGACCAGTTAACTAACAGTCCTTACAAGGCTGGTCAAGAACACAAATGATTAAATGTTAGCAAGCAGTCACTGCATCATATTTAATATATGAAGCATACCTATGGACAATTAAGGCCTGAGAGCTATTTGGGCCATAAGCATACCAAAGGCAACACAAAACTAAAGCAAAATAACAATAGGACCAAACCCCTTAATTTAATGGGACAAGTAAACGATTGAGGCCAAGATTGATTTGGTCAAGCCCAAGAAAGGATAGGCCAACCCAAGGCCAAGTTAAACAAGAAGGTCTCAATTCAAGCTTAATTTGAATAATATTTACACCAAACCCAAGTCCACAGCCACTAACCTGGTCCTCGATCTAGAAGAAACTAGTATGTACTCAGCTCATAATCTGTAAACTCAAATTTTAACTTTTGTTCTTTATCCTATTTCAGAAAAATTAAATTTAAAAATAAAAAAAAACAAAGAAGAAGAAGAAGAGGCTATGAGCATTACAAGAAAGACCATGCTAAGATCAACTCAATTGTAAGTGTCAGCAGCCAACTCCAGTCTGTCAGCTAAGACACTGGACCAATACAAAGACACTGTAACCAACCTCCAGCATGGTCTATGCTAAGGCTTGACAACTGACGCCAATATTATTTACTTGTGTCCACCCTAATAATTTCAGATACAAATCTTCTTCACTTTAATACGAATAGATGTTAATTTGGTACTAGAATTTACAATTTCCAATCCTTTAGCAAATAGGAATTTGCAGGCCTATAATTAACCGCCCCCCCCCCACCCCCCAACCCAAAAAAAAAAAACAAAAAATACTTTCTAGCTTGTTAAAGTTCATCTTTCCTATTTCTCACAGAGCCTAGTAAACAAAAGTGTCAACCAAATTCTTAATAAATCTTTTCAGAAATGTTTCCCAACTAGACTTTCTAGATTCAAATGGACCTTCAAAGAGCATTCTTTTCAAATCAGTCACAGCCTTGTCAAGATTGTCATAACACATATTTTCAATCTTCGCTAAGTTATAAAGCAGCTCATGTTGTCCTGTCCACAAAGACATATAGTTCTCTCTGGATATGCAGGGACATGTATAATCTACAATAATCATAGTCAGAAAAAATGAGGAGTTATCTTTTGATACGCAAAACAAAAAAGTTGACCAAACACAGCCAGAAAAAAGGCACAAAGATAAGAAGTACAGTCACATCAGTGACTACTAGAGTTGAGAAGGGAAAAAACCGTGCAATGTTCAACCACAGCATATTAGAAGCTCAATTATACTTGTATCAAGCTACGAGAACTGTAATCTAAAGTTCAGTTTCAAAGTTTTAAACTACATAAAACTGCAAGGAAAGTAGCAGGCACCTTTGAAGCATCATCGCCAGAGAGCAGGCAGGTAAGTGTTTGAAGAACGTTGAGAACCAACTTCTCACCAGTTGTTGCATCAAGGTTGCCGTTCAATAATGATACAATGTGCAAAAAGCACTCACCATCCCGAAACAAAGCCCGATATTGCTGATAATAAGGAAATAAGATACAAATCACCCATAAATACGAGAGGGAAAAAAATCTCCTACAGCTTCATCAATTACGCATTTCCCAATGGCAACAAACAACCATCCCCTGATTCCCCAGAACCCATATCCTACAGTCAACTGCCATTTGAAACAATTTGGCCCTCCCACGTGAAATATGTTCCAGCCCTCCCACATGAAATATGTTCGAGCCCTTCACCCTGCAATACCAATGCCTACCCTGTGCAGTCATATTCCCATTGCCATCACTAGCTAGTACAGTCCTTCCTTTCCTCCACATCCAATACAAAACCTCCTAATTCCACCTCAGTACAAGGGATATCTAATAAACCTTGACAATTAACCTAGATGCCTTGACCCACTATACCAAGCTTCAACGGGCAACAATAGCAAGGATCAGAGTCAATTAGCTCATTCACCATAATCCCAATCCATTTAACTGACAATTACAACATGTGTGTGTGTCATTTTCCTCTTGTCTAAATCCATAGGAGAATATGACAGACAAGGTTTTAAAACAGGACGTGAAAGATGGTGAAAGAGGTGGTGTGGAAGCAAGTAATTAAGCCAGTACCATGTTGGAGACAACCGATATACATATTTCTTTCTTTCCTGTGTAAAGAAGGAGATATATAGTATGCAGTTGGGGGTAATAGTATCCAGAAAACAGACACAGTAGTCTGGTATGGTTCAAGGAGGTAACATGCCAGAGACGCTTGAAAGTAGCTCATGGTGTCTCATCATTGTCACATAATTCGGCAACTATTCTAAGACCGAGGCCAATTAACTTCTAAATCATATTATAGAGGCATTTTTTTATTTCAAAAACTGGTAACAACATATTTAGCAGAGACTGACGATTCCTTTTATCATGACACAGCACATGCAAAAGAATAAATGCAATAAAGCACATGCATAAATACAAGAACAAAAATGGATAATAGAAAAACCAGATTTGGTCCACCTGATTAACATACCGTTTGATCCATCAAGAGTATATTTCTCATCCCAACTAACAAATCAACTGACAATTCCGCAAAGTTCATCTCTCGTTCCTTCACATGAGTGAATGTCTCAAGATACTTGGAAGATAAATACAATTTAGCTTTTCTATCCTCCTCAGATGAAGGAACTACCTGTCACACAGAATACTTGAACAGATGTAAGTATCCATCTGGTGCTTAACTGCGAGAACAATCATGACTAGCATTAAATAAATTTTTTATGAGCCAAACAATGTACCTTCATCAAATCAAGAATGTACTTGAGCATACGGTTTCTCAGATCTTCTTCCCAGAATAAATCAAACAAGCAATCGATGCAAGCAGAACTATGGAGTATATAAATTTTTGCATCATCTGTGACAAAATACTCTGCAAAAAGTTCAAGGCAGGTTTCCACACTTTTGCGCCAGCTGGGGACAGTTTTAGGTGAATCAGAAATCCCATTGTTTAAAAAGACCATTTTCTCAGAAGTAGTTTCTGAAAAACTTGAACTCAAATGCCTTTTTGATTCTTGAGCCAGAATTGAAGCAACTTTGAGCACCCGAGGAATCGCATCAAGAGCCTTGAAAGAAGAAACAGTTTTCTCAGGTGAAAGCTGCATTACATGAAGAAGGCTCTTTGCAAGAACATTAGCAATCTCAGGATTAGCAACAGATTGTTCAAGGGCATCCAGTAAAACTGAACATTCGGCCTGCCAGAAAATGAAAAGGACTTGTTGGAGCCCAAAAACAAACAAGCAGAGAAGGAAATACAAACTGAAATTTATGAAGAACATACAGTTTAGAGATTACAAAGAGAAGGGAGGCAAATCTTTCTGCAAGTTAAACATAAAACATGCTTGAGGAGAAAAAGGATTACAAAGATGCCAAAGTCAGTTTTGGATTCATGATAAAAAGAAGAACAAAATATTGAAGAAAAACACAGTCCCATAGCAACAATTTAGTAATGAATTATAGCACTTGTCAAACAAACAAGCATTGATTTTGTAATCACAATCCTGTAAAGACTATGAAGGGCCACCCAAAAAGATAAAGAAAGAGAAACAGATTAAGAGTAACGAGGAAAGAAGTCATCAAATTCACAGAACATTGATTAACAGATCAATAGATCAACAGATTATTGACTTTGTCCACAATATTTTACAAAATTCACAGTAGCAGTGAAGTACTCTTGATGCGACATTCAGACGCTGAATCTCATGCAAAACAAGGGGAACTTAGAGTGAACCTGGATCAGGAGGTGGTCATCTTATTCTGTTCAGTGAACAGGTCTTACATATGCCCAATCAACCTTTAAACATGTGATTGAACAACTCTCTCTACAACAAATGGAAACATCACAGGAGTGATGAATATACAGACCTGAACTTCTTGGAATTAGAGACGGGCAAATATATTGCCAAGCCTAGTAAAGCAGGCATGTGACCTGCCTGGGGGCATTTGAAGTCAACCAACAAGACGTACAAGGAATATCTGTACTGCCATGTCAATTCATAACAATCAAGTATTCTAGAGCCTAAGCAGATATGGTGGTGAACCAAAAGTTGCTCCACTGTCTGCTGTTGATCTACAGTTTCCATCTTTTGATATCTTATTTTCAAGGACATGCCATCCAATAGAAGTTCCTTACCTCAGTCAAATCTTCTAGGAGTACCTCTACTCACTTCACAACCAAGAAAGACAGATTTACACGACAATAATCTCTAACATCAGAGCATATATACCATGCAGCCAAGAGGAGGGAACAAAAAAGAGCTGATACAACACAGGCAATCGGGAAAATCTATAAAATCTAAAATAGCAGATGAAATATTTAATGTGAGACCCGCACAGAAAGAAAGAACCAACCAAGTTATGTGAAATTCCACTTAAAGTTGCTGCCAGCTCCAGGAATGAAATTGCTTCCACTTGGAGAACTTCAACTTCGTTACTACTGATATGGCCATCATTCCCAGTGAAACCAGAAAACTGTCTGCTTCTCATAATAAAACCTTCAGAACTGGAGCAGTTATCACCAGAGAATTCTACTGCAGTTGGGCCATAGTAGAAAAGATTCTCAGAGAAAATAAAGTCCCACGCTCCCTCAGCCCGGAACACATCCAGTGATGAAGGCAATAAAATAAGGATCTTCCGGAATGTCAAAAGAACAGAATGCTGCAGCGTATACACAAAAATCCTAAAGAGAATACATAACAAAGCATGTAAATGTCAGGGAAAAAAAAGAAATATGGAAAAATAGGCCAAAGATAAACCACATGAAAGAGAAAAAAGATGCAATAAGAAATAAAGAGCCAAGCACATGGACAATCTGAAACTACAAAACCACTGGATGAGTGACCTCTCTTCCCTTTGTTCCCCCTTTCTATGTATCTGCTCCATGCAGTTTTGGCAGAAGCCAGCAATTGGGTGCAAAAGAGATGAAAACGCAAGATACTTATTTACACACCTTAAGTGGCTAGGCAGCTCATTTCCATAGGAGCATGCCTTAATACAAGGGAATATTGTAAGAAGCACCCTCAAGAACCACTTTATTGAAAGCTCAAGATATGCTGAAGAAACTGGCAAGGTACTTGTACCAGTTGATGGTTGAAGATTTTGATGTATAGTATCTTCAAAACCAAGAAGGAAAGAACAAAGAACTGCAATCAAATTCGTAACATAGTGATTCCAATTTTGTGAATCAGCTGCTGGAGGAGAAAGCCCTTTCTCATGAAGTTTGGTTGCATTAACATACTCATCGTCATGTACAAGCATTTTCAACTCCTGCTGCTTGTAATCTTGAAGCATGAATGCGAGCGAACAAAAGCTATTAGCAAACTTCTGTACTCTTCCATTCTCAGACAGGAATTGCAAATTATTCATATTCCCAAAGCTGTTAGCTGGTTAAGGGCATGACTAATTTTTTCAAAACCTCAAAGCTATTAAATGCTAAGGGCATGAAGAATCTTCTAAAGTTATATTATAGCACTGAGATAAGAGCTTAAAATCATAAAAGTAAACACAAAAGTGCTTATTTTTGCAACTCCATGTTTATGTAAATCCTTTTTGTCAAGCAAACTTAAAAAGAAAAGAGCCAATTTAATTTTTACGGTCTTCTGCATTTCTAAAGCACTCTTGCACTATGTGAGAGTTCACAAGACTTGGAATACTTACTTGAACGTGTAAAGCAAATTATGAAAAGCAACCAAATACACATGTAGGTCAAAAGGATACACAGCCTCTCTAAGTATCTCCAAGGAAAGAACGTGCAGCTGGAAAATAGCCTGCAAGGGATTTTCGGTTCTGCAATGAGAATACCCACAACATCAGTGGCTAGTGAAAATGACGAAAGAAAATAAATTTAAGTGACATCAAATGTTGTATCACACAATGCTATACCAAAGCGCGACTACCTATAAAATAAGATAATCGACCCAGTTGAGTTCAGTTTGACCATTCAGGGGCACACTTTCAAAAATTTTTTTGGTTACAAAGTCTAAAACTGAAATTGATGCTATAACAGGAAACGAAATAATGTACAACACTCTTCAGGATGCAAATACCACACAATCAAGTAAAACAGGAACAGGAGGAAAAAATGAAAAGTTTCAATGGTTGAATTGGAGCCATTTACTTGCAATATTGCTTTTAAGAGAATATAAGTATTCTTGTAGATAATAAATTAATAGAGGTATTCTTGTAAATAGTTTGTTAGGTTTGTACTCCTATAAATATTAGTTGGTCACTCATAATATGGTGGCTAGATGTTTTTCTCCCAAAATACATATTCTCATAGTATCAGAGCTAAAGTCCTAGGGTTAGGGTTAAACATCTAACAAAAGTCTTGTTCACGTGATACTGTTCATACATACTGTTCATCGTGTACTATTCACGCGTACTATTCCAAGGTACTGTTTATCACGAATTTTAACTGTTTTTTGGTTTGAAGTGTTATTCGCTATAGCTGAAAGTTTATCAAAAAATATCGTGACGTCCACTAATATTATGCCAATGGTGATGCCTGGAATCACTAATTGAAAGTTGAATAACACTAATTATCAACAGTAGTCAAAAGCTGTTAAGATTTATCTGACAGACTTAGGAAAGCAACGATATCTCACAGATGACTCTCCTAAAGAGGATAACAAGAAACTAATGTGAATTCAAGAGGATGCCCAAATTCTTGGAGCACTATGAAATTCTATGGAACTACGAATTGCTTACATATGTTCTCATTGTGAAACAACAAAAGAAGTTTGGGATTATATCCAGTTATTATATTTGCAGTAATCTTTTACGGATGTATAATATTTCTTTGGAGTATTTTTAGTTGCAACAAAATAACAAGACAGTAATTGAATATATTGCTAATCTCTAGCGAATTTTAGAAGAATTGAATGCTGTAATGCCTCTCTCAATTGATGTTACAGTTATGCAGAGGCAAAGAAAGCAAATGCTTGTGCTCAAATTCTTGACTAGCTTTAAGCCAAAATTTGAACCAATCAAATCTCAAATTTTAGTAGGTGAACAATTACCATCCTTTGCAGAGGCGTGTGCTTGTGTCTTATGTTCTGCATCTAAGGACAATGTACAGGGTGATAGTGCTCCAATTAATGACAAGTCTGCTTTAGTTGTTAACAACAATAGGATAGAGCAACTTAGTCCTGGACGTGAGCAACTTAGCTTTGGACGTGGCTCTCATGAAAGAAGAAGTAAAGGAGGTCATGGAGGCCAAGGCACCCGTGAGTGCACTCATTGTGATTTGAAAAATCACACTTGTGATACTTGTTTCAGATTTAGTTGGAAAACTTTCTCAGTTTGCTAACGCGGTTACCACTAAATAAGCTGAATCAAGTTCTTCAGCACAAGGGTCCCAAAAGACTTTTACTATATTCGAGAAAGATTATGTCAAATTTCTGCAGTACCAAACTGCAAATCACGCCTCTCTTCTCTCTGCTCTTTTAGCACAAAAAGGTTATGCTATGACTTGTCTCTCCACATCATCTAATTTTGACTCATGGATTATTGATTCCGGGGCTACTGATCATATGTCAAGTACCTTTATAAATTTTCCTAATTTCAAGAGTATATTTCCTTTCCTCATGTTACTTTAGCTGATTGATCTATAACTAAAGTGAAAGGACTAGGCACTGTAAAAATTAACCCATCTCTTCCACTGTCTTCTGTTCTTTACGTATCCAATTTACCTTTAAATCTAATGTCTGTTAGTAAGCTTACTAAATTTTTACAGTGTTCAGTTTCTTTTCTCCTGATTTTATTGTCATTCAGGATTTAAGACAATGAGGACAATTGGTGGAGGGCATGAGCATAATGGTCTTTATTTCTCAACTCCAATGGTCCGATTGCGTGTCTTGCTACTATTTCTCCTCTTGAAATTCACTGTCGTTTGGATCATCCATTTCTACAAAATTTGAAGAAGTTGATTCTTACTTTGAGTTAGTTGTCATCATTAGAATGTGAGTCTTGTCAGTTAGGAAAGCATCATCGTGTTTCTTAGCCCCTAGAGTCAATAAACGAGTTTCTGAACCCTTTTTATTAGTTCATTCTGATGTTTGGGGTCCTAATCGAGTCACTTCAAAATTAGATTTTAAATATTTTATAACTTTTGTTGATAGTTTTTTCAAAGTTACATGGCTTTATTTAATGAAAAATCGTTCAGAACTATATTTCATTTTTTATGCATTTGTTACAGAAATAAAGAATCAATTTGGTGTGCTATATGTGTACTTCGCAGTGATAATGCAAAAAAATATTTTTGCACTCCTTTTGATACCTTTATGACTAAATCTAGTATTTTTCATCAGTCATCTTGTCCCTACACTCCACAACAGAATGGAGTTGCTGAAAGAAAAGTTCGACATTTAATCAAAATTGCTCGAACACTTTTGTTGCACATGAATGTGCCCAAAACAATTTTGGAGTGATGCAGTTTTAACTGCATGTTAATTAATCGCATGCTATCCAATATTCTTGGAGGCCAATTACCTCACTCCCTTTTTTTTTCTCACGAACCTATATTTAAATTACCTCCTAGTATTTTTGGATGTGTGTTTCGTTCATCAACTTGCTCCCAGGGTGGATAAATTAAATCCTCATGCTATTATATATATTTTCTTAAGATACGCACGAGCGCAAAAAGGATATAGATGTTACAGTCAAGTTTTAAATCGTTTTTTTATTTGTGTTAATGTTACTTTCTTTGAATCCACTCCTTATTTTATAAAACAATGTATGCTTTGTGAGTCAGACCAGTGTTCCTCTTTTTTTTCTCCTATTTTACCAACTCCTTCATTTTTATTACCTAAGTTATCTAGTCCACCAGATTCCACAACTCGACTATCTCGTCCTAATTTTCAAGTTTATTCTCGTCATTCCCTAGTTGAGAAAGCTCCTGATATGCCAAACACTTCACCAATTAACTCTCAATCTTCAAATCCAGGTATGACGCCCTCCTGTGAGTTAAATCTTCCTATTGCTTTACGCAAAGGTAAAAGACATTGTACTTCTTATCTTATTTCTAATTTTGTTTTTTATTCTCGTCTCTCTTTGTCATATTCTTTTTTTGTCGCTTCACTTGATTCTGTATCCATTTCTAAATCTATTATCCATACTCTCAATCATCCTAGTTGGAGATTAGCTATACAAAAAGAGATGTTTGCTTTGGAGGAAAATGATACTTGGGATCTTGTCCCTCTTCCTTCTAGTAAGCCTGCTGTTGGTTGTAAATAAGTATACACTATAAAAGTACAGCCTAATGGTTCTATTGATAGATTGAAGGCTCATCTGATAACTAAAAAATTTACTCAGGTGTATGGAATCAACTATTTAGAAACATTTTCTCCTATTGCAAAGATTACCTCTGTTCGTCTTCTTATCTCTTTGACAGCAACTTATAATTGGCCATTACATCAGTTGGATGTGAAAAATAAGTTTCTACATGGAGATTTGGAAGAAGGCGTGTTGTTCAGGAGGAGAATTCACCGTTGGTTTGTCGTTTGAAAAAATCCTTATATGGATTGAAACAGTCTTCTAGGGCTTGGTTTGGCCAGTTTAGTAGTGCTGTCATGGAGTTCAGTCTACCAAAATGTAGAGTAAATCACTCTGTATTTTATCAGCATTCTAATGCTGATAAAATTTTATTAATTGTTTGTGTGAATGATATTGTGATTACAGGTGATGATATTGTGAGAATCCAGAAACTTAAATTCAATCTGCAGATAAATTTTCAGACAAAGAATTTAGGTCATTTACAGTATTTTCTCGATATTGAGGTAGTTTGGTCTAAATATGAGATTTATTTATGTCAAAGGACATATATACTCGATATGCTGAGTGAAGTTGGGATGTTAGGTTACCGACCTGTGAATACTCCTATGGACCCTAATGTGAAACTATTAGGAGATCAAAATGCATTACTAGATGATCCTAGGCAATATCGAAAACTTGTGAGTAAATTAAATTATCTAACTATAACGAAACCTGACATTTTATTTGCAGTGAGCGTTGTGAGTCAATTTCTTGATACCCCTCGTACTAGTCGTTGGAATGCTATTATACGAATTCTCATATATCTTAAGAATGCTCCTGGACAAGGGTTGCTGTATCAAAATCATGGACGCACTGATATTGAATGATATAGTGATGCAGATTGGACTGGTTTTGCCTCAGATCGAAGATCGACCACAGAATATTGTGTGTTTATTGGTAATAATTTAGTGTCGTGGAAGAGTAAGAAGCAAATAGTTGTCTCCAGATCAAGTGCAGAATCTAAATACCGCGCTATGACTTACACTGTGTGTGAGTTGATTTGGTTGAAAAGCATGTTACTTAAAATAGGATTTGAGCATAAACAGCCTATGAATTTAGTGTGTGATAATCAGGAGGCAATTCATATTGCGTCTAATCCAGTGTTTCATGAAAGGACAAAACATATTGAAGTTGATTGTCATTTCACTCGAGAGAAATTGCTTGATAGAGTCATCAAGACAGCTCATGTACCGTCTGTAAATCAATTGACTGATTTGTTTACCAAGAGTTTAGGGGACTCTAGGGTGAAATACATTTGTAACAAGTTGGGTACTTATGATATATATGCTGCAACTTGAAGAGGAGTATTAAGAGAATATAAGTATTCTTGTAGATAATAAATTTGTAAGGGTATTCTTGTAAATAGTTTGTTAGGTTTATACTTCTATAAATACTAGTTGATCACTCATAATATGATAGCTAGATGTTTTTCTCCCAAAATACATATTCTCAACTGCATAACAAGAATCAAAAAAGCATGATTACTGAATCATGACACTAAGAAAATTCTTGATTCAAATGGCAAGGACAAGGGCAGAGGAGAGGAAGTGAGAAACATATCAAACGTTCTTAAATAAACATTTTGAAATTAATAGATTCAAAGGGGGCTAAGGCCACAACCCAGCAGCAAACTAGTTCCATGTTGTTTTATTAGAAAGCCAAGATATATGAAAGTCTGTCGTTTCTAGAAATTAGCACAATCCAAAACAAGTCTATCCACTTGACACATTTACAATATCTCCAACTTCTCAAAACTCCAAAGTCAGCAAGAGAAATGGAATAACACTGCCAGAATTACCAAGAAAAACACATTCTTTTGCCAAGAATTTCAAGAAGTTCAGGAGACATAAATTCTTTCTGATCATTAAAACAAAAAAAGGTTGGTATCCACAATGAAAAATTCACCAAACAAAGGACTAATAGAAACTTTGCAACATCTACAAAGAAAGTGTAAGCTAACATTCAGCAAGCATCTAAAAAATTAAAATCAAAATAAAATATAAAAAATATAAAAACCTCAACAGGAGAAAGAGAAGAACACAAAAAACCTATCAGTTCAAAAGCATTACCTCACCACCCCAGGGAATGAGGAATTGCCTGGTCTAATAGCATTGTTTGATGAAACTCCCAATCCATCCAACAAAACCTCCAGTCCTCCTATACTACGAAAATGATTCTGACCCCGAGGGTTATCAGCTAATGACATCTTAAGAGTTCTGAGAGTTAAATACTGAAGTGATAGATCAATCCACTGTTCTTTCATGATTAACCTCCTCAACACACGCAGAAGCTCTGCAACAAAATTTGCAGTTGAAACTTAAGAGAATGGAAAAGAATCTTAATTAAAAGAAAAGAAAAAAAAGCAACCATAGAAACAAAAATCAGCGGAGACTGATTTAATTTCATTTTCCATGGCTTTATATCATCTTACGCAGCAGAAAAGACAATTCACCTTTTGATACACATTAAGTAGCTTGAAAAAAAAATTAAAAGGTCCTTGAAACAAAGTCCAACCTTTGATTGCTCAGGCTATCTAAACATCCATACGCTTAACATATATGAAAAGAAGGAAGAACCTCTGATTCTTTCAAGGGACTCTATTGCGAAAAAAAAAAAAAGCTGGAGTAAAAGCAAAACCCTCTCTGCTGTTATGTAGATCTCAGGTACTTGTAGTGCATATGCAAAAGTTAGCTTCCTGCAGCTGCCTTAATCAGCTTGCTAGAGCCAGTAATCCAATAAACACAAAAGTCTATAGTAACTTCCTGCAGTGCTCGACCATCTCAACCATTGGTGAGAGAATAATACTCTAAAAGCTAGTTGCTTACCAATTTGCCTTTATCATCTCTCATCAAACAGCAGTTAACTATTCTCACACTTCAGAAGAAAATTAATTTACACGTCTAGCAGACAATGTCAACCACTTTCTCCTCCCCCCCCCCTTTTTATGCAGCAAAATAAAGTGAAATTGCAACCTAATTCTACAGCATCCACACTAGTACTTCAAAGTTGCGTACTTGAACTTCAACCTGGACTCATGGACGAAATATGCATGCAACATAAGACCAAACAATGAGCATGATCATGTTAAGGAGTGCGTGCCATACTCGCCAAGAGGAGATAACAGTGGCTGTGCTTGGATAGGAGATTATTTGGAAAAATTATTTGGAATAACACTGTAGCACTTTTGTGATGTGATGTACATGAGATAAAAAGGTGGTTGAAATTTGTGTTTATGATGCAAGCTGAATAATATTTGGAATTTTTTTGGCAAATCAAGCTAACCAAACAGACCCACAGTGGCTCCGCAACCCCCCAACTATTGAAGGCCTTAGAGAGGCAGTTGATGTCCATAAGCCTCCAGAAAGAAGACAGGAAGAAGACTGCTTATTAATTTAATTCCTTAAAACTACGCACTAGATTGGACTAAGAATCACTGTTTTAAAAAAGAGAGAGCAAACAGAACTCGAACATATAGAAGGAAATATGATGATTGGATTCAGAAGTTCGACAATTAGAGGTACAGACGAGTAACCAAATAACCACAATCAACTCCAGTACCAGGTTCAAAAGTTGCACAATTTCCTACTCAACTCTCAGCCCACAAACCTTTAAAGGCTTATTCAACCTCCAATTTGTATATCAATCAGCTCTGATGTGTTTGATCTCATGCATTGGATACCAGAAAGAACAATACCACATCAAACTATGAGGCAAAGTCACAAGTTTCCAGACTATTTATGTATTCCACAAGCTGAAAATGACTAGGTACTTAAAACATTATAAACAAGAAACTGCGTACCTTACCTACTAACCAATTAAGGCCACCAGCTTCCATGAGTAAAACAATGGCCCTATGATGCCACTGCAACAAAGTTTCAGAATAAGGAGCCTTTACACTAGTAGAAGATTGAGGTGATGTTGCACCAGTCTTTGGTTCATAAAACACCCAGCTGCTGTTGTTCAATTGAGTATTCTCATATTCACCAGAATGCAAGTCAATAAAGCTACATAACACTAACACCACATGAATTAGTATCTTCTGCAAAATTACGGACTTGTCGACAAGAGAGGTTGGCAAACTTTCATCTGCTGAAAGAGCACTACTAATGGTCTTGAGTTGCACAACAGTAGCTGAAATATAAACATCCCGCAAGGTTAAGTATATGTTCTGAATTAATGAAGACCCACAGACAAAATAAGGATTGAAACAAACAACTAAAAGGAAGCAGCAATCAAGTAGAAGGGAATCACTAAGATAGTTTTCTTTCTTGTAGTATTTAATCTCAATGGTGCTAGAATACGTAAACTGTCCACTGAGAGTTATAAAATCCCAAAAATAAGAGAAAAAGTAAAAAGACCGTCTTCCCAAAGAAAAAGACTAACAAATAAATCTAGGAACAGAGAAACAGGTCTGCGGCTTCCTTCCCAACCTCAAATAATCAACAATTACAGAAGATGTACAATGGAGAACTGCCTAGCACACCAAAATTGCAAATTAGGCAATCAGCATGATCAACGTTTCTTCCAAGGGCAAAACAAAAAGGCTATAAAGGATAATTACACCAAAGAAGAAATTAACATTTACCATTGAGGATGTCCAATTGACAGCAGTCTATACTAGTGCAACAAAAAACTTTTCATGAAACTACAAGCATCTAACATCATAATCCACTTTCTCTTACTCAAAATTTTGAAAACAGAAAAACACTCTATTTCAAACAACCAATAGAAAATTAATGGCCATGATAGAAAATAGGCACTAATTTAACTGATCAGTTATAACCTTTAAGCAAGGTTTTAGAGCTCTGAAACATTTCCTCATTGTCTGCCACCCCTCCTTAAACCTCATTGTCCTATTCTAGGTTCTCCTTCTGTTTCTAATCAGATAACAATTTACCATACTCGCAGAGTTCTCCTTCTGTTTCTAATCAGATAACAATTTACCATACTCGCAGAATATTGACTAATAAACTTTGTTTGTCAGCAAATTCAGCTAAAGGAGCATAAATGAATTAGTATTGAAAATAAACCACGAAAATTGCAATTCAAACTCATGTTCCTGGAAAGCCAATGTTACATAGAAATGATACAACAGGATCTGCCATTTCTCAAATACATAAATTTTCTATGGCAAGAAGATCACCTTAAATCTTCTTGGAACAGATTTGAAAGCTATGAGTACTACAAAACTAATATAAAAAGCATAACTTCACATTATCATCAAGTTTACCCAACATCACTTTTTTAGGATGATGTTTAACCAGTGCATTCAAGTACTGTCTCAAGGGATAGAAAACCAAATGAGTTAAAAGAATTGCTCAAGTAAAAGATTCTTGCAGTTAGATATATACTGTTGAATAGTTCCATCTATTTTCCCCATTGCACTACATAGTTAAACATTATACTGGCTGGCTAAGCTTGGTGCAATATTGGGATTTTTTGGAACAATCAAAGGGGTCATTGTTCGATTAAATCCTCTAAGCCTCTTGAAATATAAGATCCTACCCGCACCGCCCTCCCCCACCAAAAACAAAAACACCAAAAAAAAAAGCTGCAAATAAAATCAGATGACAAATTATGATTCGTTTGTGCAATAGGGATGATGCAAAACTGAGACAAACAAAATTTAAACTGCACATGGCTTTCTGTTTCCAGATGGGAGAGACAAAGTTCTTCAATAAGCACCTAGTACGATAAAACGGAAAGAAAAGTCGCACAAACCAATACTTGTACCTTTCAGCAATGCTGTAAGCTTCTGAACACCACCATAAAAGCCAAAAACTCTGCAATTATGCATCGACCGAGTGATAACAGCCAAAGCATCTAACACGGGCAACCCCTCATACGTGATAGTGCTCATATGACTTCCTGAATTAGCTGTGCCTGATTGGACAACTCAAATAATTAGGAGGACAATAAGTACCTCAAAACACCATATTTGGAATTTCAGAATGCTACTAAAAGAATGACGTGACTTAATTATGTGACAAAAGCTGTAAAATCTCGATAAGTTTCCGAATGGACTAAACAAAGCTGACTGAACGACATTATACTTAAGAGATTACATGCAAATTAGAGCAAAAAGTTCCCACAAACACGTCTACTCAAACAAGAAGACAATCCCAATAACAGAGTCTAGAGGATTCCATTTTTCTCCACTAACATTGAATAACAATAAGTTCCACAAAATTCTTGAAAAACAAGCATGCAAACCTATGATTCCGTAAAACACTTCACTATATACTGAAGGTCAACAGAAGCAGTTATGCCTGCAAAATGCTCAGTGGCAAAGCTGAGAAAACAGGAGTACAATAAACTGAAAAATCCAAAGATGGTTTTAAGTCGCAATAGAACTCTAAGGAGAAACAGATTGAGAAAAGCAATGTGATTGTTATGTAGTAAGTAAAGCAAAAGGGAGTACAAAAAGTAGCCCTGTTCCCCAAACTGATGCAAGAATTCAGACAAATTTAACTGTTCAATTAAAGATCAAGAATCTGGAGGTGGAAGCATTCATGAGTTTTTAATATACTCTCAAATATTTAGCCCCAGATAGATGATCAGATCAATCCTCAGAGAACAGATATAGAATCAACTTACATTCTGTAACCATTGCCGTTATTTGTGTCACTTCTTCAGCTAAAACATGAATAATCTCAGAAGGATGGCCATTTGAGCATCCAATCACCACATCACTTGGATGTGCTGAGTATTCCACAGGTAAGGCGGAGGAGGCATGATCAGGAGATTGGCCCACATTAGGTGGTTCCCAGTTCCGGTATACAATCAAAAATTGCTTGAGAAAAACATAAAATAACTTCCTTTTTTCCACCTGCAAAACATAAGATTAGAGACGAGATTCACTTCAATAAAGACTAAAGCAAGGAAAGAGCACCAGCAGACTACCAAAATCCTCCATAGCCTCCCCCCTCCCCCCCAAAAAAAAGGATTAATAAAGGGAAAAAGGAAGAAATTTGCATCTCACAGTTTCAAGCATCTCACAGTTTCAAGCCCAAAAAACAGACGTAAGAAATTGAGCAGAATCATGGTTCAGGAAGTTAAGTTCATGCCTAAATAGACGTTGACTCTTCAAGTGATTTACAAGGAAAGGAACTAACATAGGTAGATAGCTAAATGGAAAAGCCTAAATCAAGCTTGTATACCAGTACAAATTCCAAAGTTTCACAAAATCAAGAAAGCTGACAAAAGGCATAAAATTGCAAACATCTGGAGCCAGAAGATATCTGGCTTAACTTAGACCAAAGCATTGAAACTCAAGGACAATAGCTTCAATCCAAAGGTGAAAGTAGTAATTTGAAATAATCAGGATGGAATGGAACCAGTCCTTCTAGCTGTCTAAAAACAAAGTAAATTGATGTGTATTAATCAGTAGTAGTTTATATTCAGACTCAAAAGTGGCTGCACTATTGGGTTTCACTTTAAGCTTACTATGTGACATTGGCAGATTGGAATAGCAGGAATCTAACTCAGATATTGGATTCAAAGGGATGTATGAAAGATCAACATCCAGATACTAAAGCTATCTCGGTCAGAAATAATACTCGGTCAGTAAGACATTACATTCCTTTATTGCTGTGTGAGAATTCTAGAGCATCAACAAAGAACTTTTTTTCAGTTGTGATATGTTGATCGGTGAGATAGCGAACCTCATCTTTCCTAGGCAAAAAGCTACTTCATTATGTTTAGTGAAGGAGAAATGGAAAGGGTATGGAGGCACTGAGAATAAAACCTCATTTTACCATTGGCCAATATCCTGTTGTCCCCAAATATACAAGTCTTTTGACATTAAATGCTCTTATAACTTCACATAAGTACATAATTCATATTTGGTTGTGTTTTCTAATTACCTCCCTTGAAGACTGTTTTGTCTTGGGACTTAAGAAACTGGCTTGACATTTCAAAACTGAATCAGCTTTGGTTTGAACTTAGAAGATGAAAACCAAACAAATTGCATTTGACAAACCAAAGCCAGAGCTTTGCACACGCCAAAAGTTTCACATCAGCATCAAAGAAGAAAAAGATTAATTTGACTTGTTCAGGGAAAATTCTAATATTCTATCTTCATAAATTCTCAAAATTTCAAATGTTGCCTATCATTCAGAGTCCTAATACATAGAGCTCCAATTTTAAATCTACCAAGTGACAACAATGTCATAAAGCAACAACAACAAGAAATTCCCATATGTACCTTATCGAAGGAATTATCATATCTGTCCCATAAGGTATTCAGGATTGCCTCATCACCAACCTCACTAAAAAAGAGAAGATACTAAAATCAACCATTGGAAATAAACAAACAAGATAAAGTAATGAACAAACTACTACTATTAAATTAAATATTAATAGGATTTGCAAGTAGAAAGATAAATCAAAGTAACAGAGCCATGTCCAACATAACAAAATGCATTGGACCTCTTTCTCTTATGTTGGCGAAATAATTTTTTTCGTTTCTCCTAAACTCCTCCTAAACCAGAAATACATTAAACATCAGAGTGCTCTTGTTATCCAAAGCAAATTCTCAAAGTCCCAAAGGATCTACAGTTTCTCTCTCTCCAAATTATTCAAATAGAGCAAGATATGCCATCTCAGGTTTTTTCTTTGTGCAATAATCTTCCTCTAATCAGCTGATCTCCAAAAAAAATGGGTGTTTTGACCCTTGTAAAGTATTCTCAACAAAGTGCTTTTATTCTGTAGAACTAAGTGCACTAGAGTTCACAAGGCAATTTATACAAACCTAACTCCGCCAACACTAGTAACTAAAAATTAGGGGAAAAAATAGTTGACCCCCAGACTAAGCCTAGGTTCCCTAAATGAGCACAGAAGCTCATTAGCCAAACTTCATGTTCTCTATTTCCTAAAGACGTTAAAATGAATTAAACTCACAAAAGATGAAATTTTATCCACATAAGCATGTACAGATTTTTTTGATCTAAATGATGATACCTATAATATTTGTGAAACAACAGTAATGGTGATTTGATCTGGTAATTTTAGCAGTACAATAAATGATTAAAGGATGTGGTTTCCTATTTCTTTCTTTTCTTTTTTTTAGTTTTTTGGGTTGGGGGGTGGAGGCAGCTGCCTGACCAAAAGTTAGACAGGATAAATCTCTGTCCTGGATACCCTTTCTTGAACACTCTGCAGATTACAAGCAAGGGTCAATGGCAGGAACCTAAAAAAATGCTCAATACTAACCTTCCCAAGATCAGAAATGCTATCCTATCCAATCATGAAGCAAATAAGCGCTGATAGGATGGCACTCGTTGGTTTTGTATCTCAAGTTTTTCAATTATCAAGAAGCTATTAATAGGAAAAAAATACAAAAGATAAATTAACCACATTAAATAACAGAAAATCAAAAACCAGTTCTCAGGGCAAAGGATGGCAGGATTTTGAAAAAAAAAAAAAAAATTGTAACTTGAACCAAAAGTACATTCAGTGTGTATGCTAAAAGTGTATCAATTACCTAACGCCTACTCCTAATCCCCTCAAATCCTGTTTCTCCATGATTGACCACAGTAGGCTTACTGGCAAAAGATCATCCTAAGAATATCCTAATTCATTCAAAGTCATCATGTGTTTAATCAAGGTCATCCCAACAACACTCATCCTACATCCCCAGCATAATTTTCTTGTTACGAGTTGACAAACACTGGGCAAAATCAAGACCATAACTTTTTTTAACCAAGCATCTAAATTATTGCACCTTTTAACCTATCATTCAATTTCAAAAGGTGCCAACCGATGACTCTAAAATAATCACTTTTAGTTCCTCTTCCGCAAGCTTCAGTAGATCAAATTCTATTCAGTACCTTGTCATCTTGGTAAAATGATAACCACATGGCATGAGCATTGCGATTTTATTACTGAACACACGATTTAACACAAACAAGCATATAATTCCAATTCCACTATCTAATGTACACAGTTTGGAGGAAAATAGACCATGATCAACGGGTATTCCAGTACCTGAATCGAATTTTTGGAGAAGGGAGAGAAAACCTCTCCGACCGTGACGCCGAAGCAAAGTCTCCACTCTGCCCAGCCGATGTCCTCCGGATAAGGTCAGCAACTCCCTTGACAAAATTCATGCTTCCAGAGGCCTCAGCACTTATCAAGTCAAGACTTCCAACAGCCACAAATCAAATTTGCAGCCCAACATCACTCTAACCACACAAAACTATTCCTATTCCAACAAAAACCGACAATCAAAACTAGCTTAATCAATCCGGAGCTACCTGATCATATACTACTTAAAAAAAAAAAAAAATTCTGAGCTTCACAAAGTTCACCGACAAAGTAAAAAGTAATAAGAATCTAATTCAAGCTAAAGCAACAAAAATAGAACTCAAATTGACGAGTTTAGAAGTGTATTAACGGTAAATTGAAATGAACCGGAAAATGAGATTTTACCTGATCGGAAGGATGAATTTGTCAGTGAATATCAATTTGATTTCCCCTTTTCGTTTAAGTTTTTCTGTTTCTAAGGGTTTAGGGTATCCAAGATCTGGGAATGAAATCTCTGCGAAGGTTGAATTAATTTTTCACGTCATTTAACCTTTTTTGATAAGTTGAAAACGTTGAATTCACGTAAAGGAGGAAGCCCGGCAGATACATGTGCACAGGACCAATTTACAATTAAACATTCCTTTTTATGTAATTGTTAAATCTTTTGGGGTCGGAAAGAGCAAAGTTGTTACGCCCCGGAAGTTTAATAAAATTCTAAAATGTCCCCTGAAAGTCTGGAACTTTGCAATGGAGCCATGGAGCGGTGGACTGAATAAATATATCATGACCTTCTTCTTTTCTTTACAGAGGTTTGTACTAAGTAGATGTCATGCCCTTCTCTAAATTCGTCTACTCAACAAAATTAGTTCCATCCATCCACAATAAGATTTGTTTTTGTACATTTAAGTGGTAATGTGGCTAATTGATTGGCTTATGCGAAATGGAGTTTTTTTTGTGAATTTTAAGAATGTCAAAGAGTTATCTATTTAGATTAAATCAGTCTAATAAATTTTTGATTGCGAGTTAAACAAGAAGAAATTTTAGGATTGGGAGATGAAGTTGAGCCCATTAAATATTAAAAAAAAAAAGAAATCATAATTAATGCATAAGAGACTTCTTTCTTTTTGTTTTTCTATCTTTATCCGTTAATGTTTTTTGTCCAAAAGTCTTTGATTAATGGTTTGTGTATATCTAAAATAATTTTAACTAGTATTTTGCCCATGCATTAGCACGGCATATTTTTTAAGTGTGGTTATTTTTAAATGCATAAATAATTCACCAATAATGTTTTTACATATTCACTTCAAAAAGATTAATGCATTCCAAATATTAAACTGCCAAATTATTCTTAAAAAACTTGTATACATAAATTTATTACAATGTGATAATATTTATTAAGCAGTATAATGCATATTTATTAGCATTGTAATTAATTTTCTCATGAACATGAGATTCTACACCTAGTCATATTCATTTTTAGTTCAAGACCAAAAAAAAAAAATACAGCAATCTATTTTTACACAAATGATATGAACATGCACTTGTGCAACTTTCCTAGAATACTCAAGAAAAAAAAAAAAAAAAAAAAGAGACCAAACCATCATATGCTTTAATGTTTTACCAAAAACAAAAAATAAAATGGAGATGCTTTACTTTTGAAGGAAAATTTCATGTTACTTTTGGTTTTGGACACGCAAGTTAAAAAGCACGCTACCACCACGGCGGCTGGGCCGTTGGAAAAAACGAGATAGTCAACTTGAATTGGGCCTGAACCCAATACAATACTAGTGACCAGTGACACTTTAAGTCCAGCTAAACACTTTTCCATCTGCCAACCATTTCCTGCAAAACTCCGTATTGTTAGAATTTTTCTACAAAAATTCACAGTCCAATCAAAGCCTTGGACTTCTTGCCTTCGACGCAATTCTAGAGTATACATGTTTTTTGGTTCCACGATCCGTTGTGAAGTATGTGCAATCATCCATAAACCAGTAATCATGTAAGATTAGAGAGTTTAATAAATCTTGGACCTTCGAGCACTGGCCTAATGGATTTACTAGCGAGCCATTTGCTTTCCCTCAACTCCACCACTTATGCTTCATTTGTAATGTTATTGGATCCAATAGTTTGCATTAAATATATTTTAATGGATAGAGCACCCGTTAGACGAACCATAAAATAATACACATGCTAGAGAAAATTTCTATCTATCTCCGTCGTTTCTAATCAAATCAAATACCGTGTCCAATTTTCAGCTAATAAAGTATGGATTAAGATATGCTATACAACAAATATTAATAAGATTACTTTCGAAAATTTATTCTCCAAATCTTGATGAGGATTGTGGTTCATTATTGGACAAGATATTTATTTACCTCTACAAGCATAAAGAATGGTAACAAATCCACCATACAATAATATTGGCGCTTAAACAAGCATTGTTTAGCTCTCCATTATCATCCATGTGGTGGGTGTTACAGATCATAGATGATATCCTCTTGTGTTATTTTATTTCCAAATCCAATTTTGTATACTCGCCGGGGTGTTTGTAGCCCACCAACCTACCCAAGATTAATTAATCCAACTGTACCAACAAGTATTAATTAATTATTGATTTAACCAGTGCCAACAAGTAATGCTCTGGCAAATAGATTCCAGGATTATGCTTTCAAGAGGACACTTTCAACTTTCTAGAGGTATCCAATTACTCTAATTTATGAGGCGTGATCATTTGTCAAAATTCCAAACAGGCTTACGAGTCACGTACGTGGCAGAATCAAAACTCAGTGAAGTTCCTGGCTGTGAGGACAAATTGAGATTTGACGATTCATCACAAAGTTAATTTTTGCTATGGGAAAGATGCACAACAAGTCTCTCACATTTCAGAGTTCTAAATTTTTTCGTCCTTCACATTTTGAACGGTGCATTTATATCTCTCACTAGTGTAAACTCACAAATTTTGTTCTATGCTCTAATTCCTATCATGTATTGCTCCGAAACCGTCAAGGAACCAAAACATGATGAATGAGTTTCAAAGAATAAAATGCATCATTTCAAAGTGAAAAAAAAAGACTCAAACCACAAAAATTGTGCAGTGATTGCATCTTATATATATATATATATATATATATATATTTTTTTTTTTTTTTTTTTTTTTTTTTTTGTTTTTGGTCAATCGGCAACCCCCACCTGCAGACAAAAGAGTGCATTACTGCACATTTTTGGATTTTATTGCAGATGCAAATGTTTGAATTCATAACCTGCAATCAAACATGCACTTTATGCTTCACCTGATAGCCAACTCGTTTAAGGACAATTCTTTGCATCTTTTATATTATCATGATGGAGCAGGAACATGATCTCTCTCTTTAATTTTTTCGCCAAATGTACCCAGACTGAGAAGCCACTTCCTCTTGTCACATGAAGAGAGATTTTTTTTTTTTTTTTTCACATAAAAAAGAAAGCCAATTGATGAGGTTATTCGTCGTTGCTGGCATATTATCAAGGATCCAAATGGGCACTTAAATCTAAGAATAGTAACAATTTCCCTAATTGGCTGAGAATTTGTCACTATTGTGTGGAATGTGGGAGACAGTCGAATTGCACCAATGCAAAGGTTATACAAGCACGGATGCCCGTTTAATGCTCCAAAGTGAAGTTCGAAGCTGAAGCTGACTGGACCCCCAAAAAAAAAATTATATGGCATCATTTGTCATTAGCTTGTTTTGGTGAACGGTTTCAGCCTTCAAAGCTTAGGTTAGTGGTGGGGAAGATTGACGAGAAACTCTAACCAATCTCGTGCTTGCAACCTCGATAATATCTGAAAAGTTTTTATTATTCCCAGGTTCAATACCAATCCTCCTTCAACAACCAACTTTGTGGGAAAACTTAATTAATAAAAAGTCGTTTGTCAATCACTCAAAGCACTTAGTACCACTTCAATCAAGTCGTGCCTAATTTAGACAAAAATCATCAATTATTCTGCCCCATGTACCCTTGTTTCGATTATAATTTTCTGTAAAAAAAAAAATTTAACACATTTTTTAATCAATTTTTTACTTTACATATATCAAATTATTATAATATATTTTTGTATCAAAATTTTTTAAAATTTTTTCATGTTTAAAGTCACAATTGATATCATTAACTCTGCTGTAGCTTGCAACTTAAGCGAGATGATACAGAAATAAAGAATTCCTATTCCGCATATCAGTTTCACTTTCTCGAAGAGAAAAATATGGTTTCCCTTTTCCAAGATGAGATCTATTCCCTTTTCCCGTAAACGGTAATGAACTTCTTTATATAGAAAGTGTCTCTTCCGCAGGCCTTTGGGTCCCCAAAAGCCACTGAAATCATCTACGAGTGGGACATTTTAATATCTTCCAAATCCACCAATTGGGAACTAAACAGATGTCTCCACTCAGTTGGCTCACTGCCCTTAATTATGATTGGCCCAACATCAAAATCTTTCGCCCAAATAAAGCAAAAAAAAAAAGAATAAAAATCAATGACAAATAACTGTTGGTTTTTTATTCATTAAGGAAAAAGAAGGAATGATTGGGTTATAAGACCCTTTTTTTTTCTTGATAAGTAAAAGGTTTTAAATTCAAGATCTTCTACTTACAATCTGTTAGGATCCAAACGCGGAATAAACCACATTGAGATATCAAATGCACAACAATTTAATAGCAAATAAGCCACAAGTATGAAAGATAAACGACATACAATATTTAACGCGGTTCGACTCCACCATTGAGCCTACATCCACGGAAAGAATCCTATTCTTTAGTATGAGAGAAAAATCCTATACAAGAATACAATTTGAACCCAAGCCCAACCCTTGTATACCATCTCTCATCTCCTAAAAACCCTCTCTCACACCCCATGTATAAGGTTATATGATGCCCCTTGTGTCTATTGTGTAGTATGCCAACTCACCTATTTATAGAAAACATTACTGTCAAAAAAATCAAATAACAATTGGAAACCAATACTATTTCCTAAACTCATATAGAGTAGAAAATAGTATCTAATTCTAGTTAAATAGGGTTTTACTTGACAACTATTTCAAATAACTAAATCCAATTAGGAAACTAGTTACTTCTCACACCAAATAGGAATCTTGACTAAAAGAAATTAAGCCAATTTCCTAACAAATCTCCACCTTGGCGAATATTTCTTTTAGCAAACACAGCAAACCATCCAAAAACTCCATTTGCCTTTTCCCACCAAGTACCTTGGTGCCTAACTACACACCCGAATCAATATAGTTCTGACACCAAATTGATTCAATCGGCAAATGAACATGTGTAGTTACTTCGAGTCCAATTTCCAATTGATTTGTGAGAAGGTACCTCAATTCACTATCCCCTTTGTAGGATTTTTTCTCACCACCACTTGCAATCCGGGATCCCCTTCTGTGAGTTCTAACCCTAACCATTGAGGCAACCAAGTGGTAAAATCATCATACTTCTTCCCATTCTCAGGACTGTTTCGCCATGTGTGATTTTCAAGACTCCACCTAAAACGAAAAACTGGTAACTGTCAAAGTCTTTTGGCGCATAGAAATTAGATTTCTTTGTTTCTT